GTTTTTGCAAATTCCACCCAACGAAATTGTGAGAGAAATTACCACCATAAATACTTCATTCGGTCTGCTCGGAAACAAATTCCTACCGTTCGGGTCAAATTTTTCGCCCAAGAAATTCCAAAGGGTTTTAAGTCGGATTATTACTAGACGTGATTTTATTTAATCATGGCAGGATGATAACGTCATTAATGCTGAAAATGTTGAGTCCAGTTACAGATGCATTTCAAAAATATTTAGACATTCCATTGATACAGATGTTGCCGTGAATCCGTTTATGGTAAAGATGCTATAAATATTCGGAGTCTGACAATGCCTTAACCCGTAACACCTTTATAATTGAAGTATGCCAACCCAGGCAAATCAAAAGACAGAGATGAAGAAGTTGGAGGATATATTCGGAAGGCTATCGTTATACGAGTAACGTTTGGTCTAAGCTGGTCAACGGTTAAAAATGATTAGCACGACGTACCCACTTGTAATCTGCCGCCCAGCATGGACTAGCTAGACGCAGACCATGAGAAAGTTTCCTATCACTTCGCTGATAGTTCAAAAAGCAGTCTGGCAAGAATGACTATCAGGTAGTACAACCATTGTCTGCTAATATAAACGCTTTGCTAAGGGAACTCGTAAGTATTTTGTGTCACACCATGGTGACGAAAGGCTGGAACATTCACTAAAAGAGTTTTTTTCTTTAGTTATACAAAAAGAGGAAATACGTATCACTACATCCTGAAAGTGTACTGTGTTTCGATGATAGTGTAATCGTAACTTCAGCGCTTTTATCTGCGATATTGAAGAACCTTCAGTTGGAAGCAAAAAAATTACTTCATTTACACGTCATATTTTTGGTGGTCTGGGATTGATATTGATATAAGTAAATAATTGAAAAACTGTCCTCCTCGTTTACATAGACCATTGTACAATAAACTTACTAGAAACCCCTTTGTGGCATCTTATTATTCATGGTAACGTACTCTCAGAGTAAAGATCTTAATAGCTTGCACTCCGAAATTGGACGTTACTCTCTGTTAACAGTTCAACAATATTTTCAGTTTAATAGTGTCGCATAAAATTTCTCCCTAATCATAGACTTATGGCATAATAGTGGATCCAAGCGGAGTAGAAGAAGTGGAGTATTGCATTGGCAATTTCTTACTTCGCTTACGTAATAGAGAATATTTACATGCTCATAACGATCCAGCCAAACTCGTCACATATTTTGGACTCATTTAGTAAACAGAACCTTATCAGAAGCACAGTTTTATTGAGGAAATGATTATCAAACTTCTGCGGGAATAATAGTAAAGGTGGTGAAGACCTTTGGTCTAAATGACCATTAACTTCACAACGGACAAGTGCAGAATGGAAAGATTAATCACACATTTATTTCAATTTTAGCTCTGGTCATTTTCTAACTAGTTCTCATTCTGTAGATACTCCTGAACTCTAGACAGATAGTACCAATTTTGACTACATTTGTTTTCCTACTGATGGTGAAAGCATAAATAAACGCGAATTTCGAAAAACAGAGAGGAAGTCGGGATGCCAAATAGTTTAGACGTCTGTTGAACTTCGAACTGCACATAATCACTAAATTTATTGTAACTGCCTTCAATGGATTACTTTTGATTATATGTAGTGACTTTAAATCATGTGACTGTGGCTTTCTTTCTTCACCAGTTCATTAAGATTCTGTAGATTTTCTCATTCTCTCTGACGACCACTTACACTTTGTTTTCATAGGTGATGTAGGAATATATGTGACTCGTAAACCTACTTCACACTCCAGTTCTGATCACTGCATCATCCGTGTTCTATCTAAAGTATATTGCAAACCCTGAATGAGTACACTGTTATATCGGACAAATAAAGTTTTGCACCGACAGCTCTCAGAAGAAAGTATCAAAAATCTGTAAAAGTATGTTTCGTGCGATAAAACTAAATTTATTTTCACACGACTAATTGGAAAACACTTTTGATGTTGCCGTTCATTATCTTAAACTCTGCTTTGATGTTTGTTGTTCCAGTGAAATCATTTTTGTAACTTCTGATCGATTTACATCCCCCAAACTAAATGAATACGGAGAAAAACCCAATTAAGGTCAGGAAGCTAAATAGTCTAATAAACCTAGAGATCAGACGTCAGAACTGATTGCTTACTCAGAAACTCCTATCTTGTAAACATTCGTCAAGCCTGTGGAAATTAGTTCGAGAACTTACAGGTGAAAAGCACATCAGAATCGATAACCAGCTGAATGTTTGTACTTACATAGGTTTTTCACACGTCAGTGTTCTGATGTCATGCTTCCCATATATAAATACTTGAAGAACAACTGTCTTTCAATTTTTTACTGCAACGGATGTCCGGATAATCGTCTAGTTGTGTTCATACTTCTTGAGAAGAGAAAAGTACGATGCGCCTGCGGTAAAGTGCTCAACGTTTCCATTAACACAAAATGTGTCTTATGGAGCTGTTCTTTCTCTATTTCTTTCCACTGTTTTTTTGTATGCATACAAGTGGAAGATCATGATGTGTTCTTGTCCTTCATGAAAAAATTGTCAGTGGTTTCATACTTAACCCTTGTAAATATCAAAGTCTTAACTTTGGCCTGAGACATAAAGAGCACCTAAACACCCTGTTGAAATCCCTTAAAGCTCTTACAGTTGGAGATGCTGCAATAAAAACAGCTTCCGAGGGTTTCTAACTTGATGTAGGTCTGTCCTTTGATCTCTCCCGGTCTTCTCATGTTTTATTGATATCGAAAAAGATTGTCTATTTAGTTTGCCTTAAAGAGACTGCATGCTTTTGGAATCACTGGACATTTACGTTTACAGTTTGTACATTCTTGAATACCGCCTACTATTCTTGACTGTTCGCCGTTATTCTTTCACGGGCTTTTGGGAAATACTGCTGTATTGCGGAGAGTGCTGAAGGCAGTTAGCTGGGTTTGTGGTGAATCCTTCAAGGCCATTATTAATATATGGTTGTGGATAGTCATCTGAAATCTTGTTAACTCTTGGCAGGTGTTATCCTATCAGATACTAGACAAACACCTCATTCATATCTTTCTCCCTGTATATCTTCTGGTAAAAAGAAACTCTAATGCTTTAGAACCTATGCACGCAAGCAAACGTATGAAGAACCCACAATACCTTGTCCACCAAATGTGTCACGTGGTGAACGGGTTGTTAATCTGACCTCGTCAATAACTTGTATCCTTAAACACGTTTCTAATTAAAAGTTGTGCGGATTTAAATCAAAACAAATGCATTTCATCCAAGTCACGGTAGTTTTTCAGCTTAAATTCAAATATATGTATTCAGTTACCGCCTTTTTGTTCTGTTTTGTAAAAAAATTGTTGAAATACTTTGTTTTGAGAATCACATGTTGTGTCAAACACATAATAATGAGCAATGCCATAAATAATAGTATGAACAATTTAGCGATAGTATGACATGGAGAGTAGCTTATGCGAAAAATATCACGAATTTGCAGTGCTTATCAGCACTAGAGCTCGAAGTCTCTTCTTACGCAAGGACTCTGACCTAATTTGAGAATGGAGGGTGCAGATATATTTTTGAGTAGCGGTCCACTCAAAATGGTGTACACGACGTAGACGGACTTTATGTCATAAGAGGTGCTTAGCACGGCACACAAGAACGTGATCTAGTATGTACGCTTGATTAAGTGCCTGAACCTAGCCTTTGGCCACTTTTCGGAAAATTTCATCATGAAAAATGATAGGCTTCTGCGTGGGATATTTTGACAAGGTTAGTTCCTTAAAGTCTTTTCATTATAACAGCCCAATGTGGCCAAAGCTGTTCAAATCTCATACTTTTTACACAGTTTTCTAGGTGCAGTCACATGAAAATTATTCATCATATTTGGTTCTTAAAATAACTCCCTAAAACGTTGAGGCATTGTTCATACCTAGTCTTTTTTGCGTTGATAGAGAGATCTGTATGGGGCTGGGAAGCTGGAATAGTTCACTCACATGTGAAGATCATCAACTTAGATGATTTGTGTAGAATGATTAAGAGCGTACTCGAGGTAAACGGCAATGGTGTGACGATCTAGCCAACTTTGAAGTCGCACCTCACAGTCAGCACCTAACGTGGATTGCCCTTTTATCGTATCGAGGTAGTACGGATGCTTTGAAGGCCGCACAACACAAGGAACGTCACTAAAAGCGTGGGTCAGGTCATGGTGTGCTATTAATTGACACGCGTTGGTTGTTCTTGAACTTGACGAGAATCGGTGAATTATTCGACATTCGGTGACTCAACTGTCGGATGATCTGACCAGGGCCCATTGACAGTTCACTGGTCACACACATATTCAGAGCCCGAGTTCGTAGTTTTCAATTTTTGAGCTTTGCTTAAGTCTATGTATTTTTTATCCGCCATGTTATATGTGTCCACCTTGATAGTTTCGCTCTAGTCTAAAGGTCAGCTCATGCTGTTACTCGATTGTTCTTCGAGATTCGAAAGTTACCCATCTGTCGCTGACTGTCTATCTTAGGGAATCTGTCTAACTTCGTTAATCAAGGCAATCGCCTGCAAAATCAGCAGACATGTAAAGCAACATGGTCTGGACAGCCAATATAGTAGTGGCTTATAATACCTCTTTATGCAGCCGGTGTGAGTCCGATGCACTCGTTTTGACACCGATTGCTGCAGTTGTCGCATCGCATTCTTTAATTCATAGGAAGGAAGCATATTTTGTTTGCGCCATTAAATTTGTTAAGTCAGGAGCGGAAATAACAAAGTAGAGGCTACGGGTTCTCGCGCACGTGTTACGTGTTGTCGAGGTTTTTAAATATCGTTAGTTAGCAGCTGTTAACAGCATTTTTCTATCACACGTAAATTTTCGTAATGTTTGTTCGTTTTACATAGCTTTTATTCCAGTTAATTAGTGATTTGACACCCAACAATCCCATAACGACTGAAATATGGAATGTCCGCCTCTTGTCAGACCGTTCAAGGTCGTTGGAACAAAGCGGCGGGCGACTTTGAAAAGGCCTGACTTTTTTCCGTACCTGAGTAAACTGTCACCTGTCACGTGGTAGACATTGAACAGAAAAGGCTAAAACGCCTGTTAATTTAACTAAAAGTCCAGCGCAAATAAGTCTAAAGGAAACCTTTTAACTTTAGGACAGTCAAAACGAAGAGATTTACATGACAAGAGTACGGTTTTGGGGCCACGTGTTATTCCTCTTGTATGTAAATGATCTTCCTCGCCTAATATCATCATCGGTGTCGCTTCATACTGATGATTTCAAGATATGGGAAGCGATCCGAAGTAAGGGTGATAGCTTAGAACTCCAAAATGACCTGGAGAAATAATCTGAATGGTCTAGACCTGGCAGTTGCCAATACATACTTCCAAGTGTGTTGTGATGCATATCGGTCATCAAGTTACAGATACATACACGATGGATAACACTGAGCTACCTGTTGCCCACATGACTTAGGAGTCATCGTTAGCCAAGACCTAAAGACTACTACAGACTGCCGTGCAATAACTGCCAAAGGTTTTTAAACTTTATTGACAGATAGTTCCCATTTAAAATTAAAACACGGATTTCAGCGAAGGGATCTCTTTTCAACGAATTTATCATCAAGCTGTACAGTCGTACATGTATAAAAATTTATTAACTGTGTTCACATTTCCTCACGGAATTAGTACTTTTACAAAAACAATTTTCATATATGTACGATTGTACAGCTTGATAATAAATTTGTTGAAAAGAGATCCTTTCGCTGAAATTCGTGTTTTAATTTTAAAACTTTATGGTCAATACATAGGGCTTTTAATCATGTCGACGCTAAAACGTTTTTGACTTTGTATAAAGTGTTCGTACGTCCTAAACTTGAGTACTGCAGACAAGCGGATAGCCCCTGCTTAAAAAAAGACTCAACTTTTGGAAAAGGTCCATAGAACAGCTGATTCCCGGAATAGCGAAGCTCTCGTATGATGCTCGACTGGTGAAGCTAAACCTATTCCCGTTGTTATATTGAAGAATTAGGGGCGACTTGATTACAGTTTTCAAATTGCTTAGTGATAAATTTGCACCTGATATGCCCTCATTTTTCTTGTCTTCCAAAACAGAGAATTTACGAGGACACTCCAAAAAGTTCATAAGCTCAGGACAAATTACTTGTCAGTTGACTATCGACTTTCCCATCGAATCACCAACGAGTGGAATTCATTACCTCAGCACGTGGTTGGGGCTCCATTCGTCGACTCTTTCAAAAGGAAGTTGGGTCAACTGAGAGACCACCATTGCCAGGACTAACACAGGCTATCAAGCCTCCTGTCCTTAACAAACTGAAACGAGGAGAAATACCAATCCCAGTTTAAAGTGCAATAATCCTAGGACTGGGTTGAACTATCTGATTCTAGTTTGCATTGTCATCTAGGTTTTGTGTTATTTTTGGTTTTTGTTTGTTGCTTGCCTCAACAAATTCAAGTGTATTGTGTGCTTCTGCTGGGTCATCGAGTCGTCCTTCACCATTGTTCTCTTTTCAAGCACTCCACTCATGCTGCTGTGCATGCTCCCCTGGTGCTCAAGATACTTGGCTAGACTCGACCTGCTACATTCGTGGCAGGCATGTAAGGGCCTTACTGGTTAGAAGTCTATGATGCAGTGCAGACTTATTACGAGCCCTAATTAAGGCACTACAAACACTTAAACAGTGCTTTGTCAAAAGTGCTAGTTATGTAGAGGATTAAACTGTCTGAAAATTCTACACCTATATTTTCACTTAGATTTATCATACTGCCGAAAAACAGCAAAAACTTAGAGTTTTGGTTTCTCTGTAGGTACAGAGTTTTTGAGCTGGAACTATGTTACAAAAGGACTAAACAGACTTGAGACACTGTATATAGACTCAAGACCTGGTTTCAGTTCCTTACCTTGATTAAAACTCGAATTTCTAAACATGTACCTTTCCCGTTTAATGTTAAAAATAACTCATGAAAAGGTTCGTTACTCATCATTAAAAGACTTATCTCTTGTAAGTTTACCACTTGAAAATCGCAAATTGTTTCATAGAAACAAAGTTATGCGACTGACTAACATACTACTCAAGTTTATTTGAAATTTTCAATGTTCTCTATAGACTACTTCCGTAAACGTACCCCTTTTTCTAAGCCTAACTCACATGGGGCAGGTTCGTGATTCATCTTCGATTTCTCTAGCCCTTGTAATCTTAACACTTGCCGACAGATCTATTTGCTTAGTCTGACTTCGAATATGTAGTAATCTGGAATACTGTAATAGATCCACACGGCTGGTTCGTCGCCTGTCTAAAAGTAAATAAAAGACAAAAACCAAGATTAGGAACATGTTTATCGATTCAAACAAATTTTAAGATCAAAATCAGCAAGTATTTGCTACTTTAAGCTTTAGCTTTTCAGTCTAGAAACTGCATTTCGAGCTGAAAAGCCACTGGTTCGTAACCTGCATATCCACTTTACCTTAATCAACCAGGTTGCATCTCTATAAAGATACAGATAAAAACTTCACACAAGTAGTAATTAAAACCTAAATAAACCTGTTCTTTTCCAACAAGTAAAAGTAAAGTAAATCAGAGTAGCCATATTGTTTTTCTAGATTCTTATTTTAAAGTGGCTAATATCATAAGTTGAGATCTATGATCGGTGTTTACTTTAGGTGTCCGGATAGCACAGTTAACTCGGATGAAATATCGCTCACATACGCGTATGTTGACTTTTGATTGTATGATTTGAAATATTATTGTCTTTCATTTATCTTAAACCAGGGTAGAGTGTCCTATTTCTTCTTAACAGTAAGCCTAAATTGTAAACTAGATGCGTATGCAAACCGTAGTCAATGTCTCTAGTACATTTCACCGATATATTATTGTAATTAATAGTATCGGTAACTAGCCTATGAGATCCAATGACCTGATTAATATTGTCTTTCAGGTTTGTAAAACAATGCAAAATGAGATCAGGTTTGCTCTTAATTTCATTCACAACTGTAAAAAAGCAACAGGAAAAAGATTGTGGGTAATGTCGAAATATTCATCGGAACACATAAATCTTATTATAGCACCACTATTTTTGTCAGCGTAATTTTGCCAGTGTTCTTGGTATAGAAACGAGCTGTGACGATACAGGTGCAGCTGTTATAGAAACATCAGGAAAACTACTTGGAGATTGTCTATCTTCGCAAGCGAGGCTTAGTGTTATGTAACGAAAAGAGTCATTAATCATTAAATATTTTTGAAGGTTAGGTGGTGTAGTACCGTCCGTAGCAGCTGAACTTCACAAGGAAAACATTGAATCAGTTGTAAATACTGCTATGGCCAAATCCAACATTGGGTTCCGGGTATTTTTGTTCATGGTTATTTTTTAACTGATCTATCTTTTGCTCTAGGATTTAAATTTTGTTGCAGTTACAGTAAAACCAGGTATGCCACTATCTCTAAAAATTGGAGTTAGTTTCGCTAAATCTTTAGCAAGTCGATTAAAGTAGTTTTAATTTCTTTGTTGACGAATTATTTATTTGTCAAAGGATTCCTATCATACCGATTGATCATATGGAGGCTCATGCACTGACAGCTCTGTTTACAGATCCTCAGTAAGCAAAAATTTTCTGTGCAAATGAATCATAGTTTATGTACGGAAATAGCGTATTTAACATTTCCAGTTGCTCTCGTGTAAAACCAAAAATCCTAGAAGTTAATTATTACTTATTGTTAAATGTAATAAGTATAGTCTGAGCATAGTTTGATCAGCGATGTGTAATTTCTATTCTCTCTGTGAATTACTAAACAAGATATCTAATTAAATGCTTCAACATGATATTTAGAAGTATCGTTGGTCATAAATTTATGATGCAACAAAACCTTTAGAAAGATACTGTAAAAAACTGCCATCTCTGGTGTTTACTCAAATTATAAGTCAGTTTTTTTTCTTATTTGAAACTAAGCATATCATGAGCTTTTTGATTTAGATCATGAACCGATTGATGTTAGACCACCATTGAAAACCTGGAAGCACTGAACAGCCGTTTCGTCCTATTGTGGCACTCCTCAGCAGTGCGCATCCGCGATCCCGCTCGCTGCTAGGACTTGCTATCTTTCGTTCTCAAGCAAAATATTTTGTAGAATAATGGAATAATGTATATAAATAGGTTTTATAAATAACTGATTTAGAGCAAATAGTATTTATCTCATTGTTTCATGACGTTTATAAATTCTTTTTAAAAAACGTCTTAGGTTGAAATTTCCCTATATGATCCTCTTAATAAGTGGTGGTCACAGTATTTTGGGCATTGTTCAAGGGTTAGAGGATTACGTTTTATTAGGTACAGCATTAGATGCCTCTCCAGGCGATATTCTTGACAAGGTGAGTTAAATATGTTTGTCTGATTTTACTTTCACATCGTAACTTATATATTTTATCGATTGCGGCTTTATATTTTCAAAAAATGAGTAACTAAATTTAGTTTTTGATACTGCCTAAATCGAGTGGTTCAGGTTACCACTGACAAGCTGGCAAACTGAAAACCTGTATTACACTCCAAATTCACTTACTGCATATCAGCATTGTAAAGAGCATGATGGTGTCACAGGTATTCAGTGTTTGACAACGCTTCTACCAGTAACACCGCTACAAGCACTAAAGTAATGTTACTGGTAGTATGTGAGGTTTAAGTCTTCTCCGTTTGACTCTACCATATATCCCGCTGAGTAGTATTATCTCACTTGAGATTATTCAAAAGCCAAAACACCAGTTGTTGGGAAAGTGTATTGTCGGTAATTAAACCCACAAGTACCCAAGACACAAAGCACACTGTGTAATCAAAATGTAGGAATATTCATATGTATTTTATGAGTGTTGATCAATTGTAGGTAAGTTACTAATTTATTTTCAATTAGTTTTTCATCATGGCTCTACACTAATATATATATATATATATATATATATATATATATATATATATATATATATATGGTGGTGAATCAGTTGAGTAGGTTGTGGATCTTCATCGACTGGGATGATTGTACCGCGTGTTACGTATGCCTGACCACCGTTTATCACGACGTGTAATGCTGACTAGTGTTGGAGACAGCTGGAAGAAAGTTAGGGCGGCCAAACCGAAACGTGGCATCAGCCTTTGAAGTCACTAACTTCTCGTCTGGGCCATATCAGTAAATGTAGACTACTTGGTTGGGCTCCGCGTGACTATTGTAACAAATGGTTGGAGACTCTGGGTGACATGGCTCAGAATCGATCACAATGGCGTAGGTGTATACACTCTGTCTTCCCTTAAACTAAGAGATTAAAATCGCTTCATATCTTTCTTTCTACGGACTAATTCTTTCTTCCTGTACTATATCCTTATATATTACCACGATTGAAGTAACTACTTCTATAAATTCGGTGTTCATTTTGTCGTGCTAATGAAGTATGGCAACTTGGATCGATGCATATATGTGCCTGGTCCTACGTTGTAGCTGACTGACTGAATTTCTCGAAAAGCATTTTTAGATGAATTTGATGTTCACTTTTATCTTTACTGACTATGAGTAAGTCGTCTATTTAAGTTTATTACTCGATCAATAAAACTCTGGAAACTTTGTCCAGGATTTCTGAGTTCCAAAGACATGCGGACAAATTTGTATAACCCGAATGGAGCAGTAATAGCGGTTTTCGGAATGTGGTCTGGGTGGATTGGAATGTAATGATATGCATGAACGAGATCAACCTTTGAGAAAGTCGTTACATCAGATAGACTATGAGTAGTCATGTAAGTTTGGAGGAGGGTATCTCTCTGGTATCGTCCAGCTGTTAAGAACTCTATGGTCGCCGCAAGGTCGGAAGAGTTCTTCTTAGGTATCACATGGGGCAGTGATGTCCAAGGACTACTGTGGGGACTTATTGAACCCAACTCTATCATCTTGTTGAATTCGTTCTTTACGAGAGCGGTCAAGGAGATGCAGACACTGGTAGTCCCTCTGTCCTAATATGGTGTACGACAGTATCTGTCGGTTTGTTACGTTTGGAAGTCGTTTGTAACAAATCAGGAAAGTGATTGAGAAAATTGGTATATTCATCATTCTCGCGATGAGGTTTGATTGATGTCTCGTGATATAAGTCTTCTAATTTCATCGTTATGATTTGTAGATACAAGTTTCCGGTTTCTAACATCTACGAGTATTTTTCGGAATTGTAAAATATCGACACCGATTATGGGAACTAAGACGTCAGCTAAGTTCCATAAGAAATTTAATTTGAGACCAAAATGTAACCATAGCTGCCTGTTACTGTATGTCTTGATTTCCGTCCTGTTTGCAACTTGCGGTTCTAGTTTGCGGTCAGGTATGATTTTCTCAAGTGTAGTATATGGTACTACATCAAAATTTGCCCCAGTGCTGATTAAGAACTGTGTTCTGATTCTTTTATCTGAGACGTATAACAAACAACTTTCTTGAGAGTTGGTGCGATGACAACAATCGTTGGTTTTAACGTTTCCCTACCGTGTGTCCACAAAGTTACAAGGACGGGTACATTCTTTCTCTTGATCGCCATAATTTCTGTGACACCAACATATGCTCTTGGCTGCTCCTTGGACTACGGGGTGCACGGCTTCCGGTTCTCCGTCTACACCTGCAGCGAGGCGTATTTCAATTATGAAGCTGAGCCATCTGATTGACGAGGACTTCGGCTGTTTGTCTCAACTCTGTGATCTCGTTGGTTGAGTCTGTGTATGATACGGAGTAGATCTTAGTCTGCTCGTGTATTTTACCGGTTATATCTGCTAGTCTATCGAAATCGACGTCTTCGTCTTCAATCGCTAATATTTGTTGAATATTTTGAGGAAGACGTTGAAGTCATAACTGATATAACAGGCATTTATCCAAAAGACGATTACGCAATATAATTGTGTTGCGTCTTAAGTATGACGGTTCACTATCACCTTGTCTTAAACTATCGTATGGTGCTTTTAGATCTCAGTCGCACCCTCTCTATAACCAAGTCCATAGAGTCCCAAAGGAACATGTGTTAGTCCCATGCGGCTGTCTTTTATACTACGACACGATATCATACTCTAACTCCCTACCCCCTTTTCAATCAATCCTAGCACAATGGTGGACAATCTATAATTCACTGGGATGATTTTTGTGATGCATAATTACACCGCCGACACCAGTGTTTCGAGATCATGACACTAAATGAATTATCGTCTCACAGATACTGACCGTTGTAACTTGGTAAAATACTGTTATTACTATTTATTACATCCTGTAGGTAAAACTGATTACTTACCCTCGTATAACTAAACATGGATTAATACGACTCGATATAAGGATTGCTAGACTAGAAAATCTATGTATACTCGACTTATCGACGCACTACAGTTTCTACTACTGATTCACTACCAGTTCAATAAATATGTTAAAATACACTGAGTAATATGTCATTTGCTTATCTGGTCAGTTGTTATATTTAACACATAGCATTAATTAGTGGCCCGATACAGATATCCAATTTTTATCAATATATCAAACTGCATTAACTGATAATTATAAATAAGTTACCGAGTTCTTTATTTTCATTCTCCCCAACACTGGTAGGTTACTGAACAAATTGATCAAGATTGTGGTGCTAGCTCAACCATATACATATCGTAGAGGCAATATGTTACTGCTCAAAAGTTTTAAGTCACTAGGCGAAAAATAATCTCAGCTTGTACATTTTCTGGATATTTGTTCAGTGCATTTCAACAAATTTAGACTTAAGATCTAACCATCTGAGTAGTATAGGCTGAATTGTAAAAAGCTTTCGTAAAGTTGTTGATTGTTTTCACTAACCAAATATAATGGCCATTAATACGTGCGTTACGTTGTTGTTGCTGTTGTCGTCGTCAATGCCTCAAAATGGAACGATCCGTGTATTTTTTGCATTTACAGATTTCTAGGCGTCTAAAACTAAATCGTTTGTCAGATGAGTGTTTGAAAGGCGTCGCAGGTGGTAAGGCTATCGAAATAATTGCAAAGACTTATAATGGTGATCATCAACGATTCAACCTACCTTTACCACGTTCACAATCTAAGGATTGTGATTTCTCATTTAGTGGAATCCATGTGGCTGCAGAACAATTGATCAATAAATTGGAATCTGAAAATCATGGTACGTGAGTGGTTTGTTAAACAAATATATATTACTTTTTATTGATCTACTTTACCATACTTCCGTTAAGAAAGTTCTAGCAAAGTATTTATCTCTGAGTAATATCGCTCAAAATCAAAAAAAAGAAAAGACGAACGAGGTCGTTGACTTTGTTTACATCTCACTTCACTGAATATCATAAGATATAATTAGGCTTGTTAAAAACTAAATATTCGTTATAGTTATTGTAACATATATATATTTCCCAACATGAAACAATGAAAAATTAGACTTAAACTTTGTTTTAAAATCTTATACTTCCGAAGTTTTACTCACTACCATTTCATTCTTTTCATAGACAAATAAGTGTATTTATTTATTTGAACACATAAATATTGGTACAAAGGGGCACCGAATAAATATGCGCCACACAAGTTACTTGATTTATGTGTAGGCTGTGATACTGCCCAGGTGCCCAGACCGAAGCAGGTGGTTTTCTTAGGGGGTCACGCCCGGAGCCTTTGACTTAAAGGTCTGATCCACAAGGCAGTAGAGCAACGTCGAGAGATGCAACCCCATTGTAGCTGGTGACCAACAATGTTTTCATACGCTTTTCGTTTACTCAGGATCCTGGAGCCCATGTGCATATATATATATATATATATATATATATATATATATATAATAAAAGCTCAATGCTGTCACTACTACGAGTAGTTTACTTACTAACCTGTTCTATCTCTATGTACCACTGATGATAAGGGATATTTTTAAGTATTGTTATATGTATAAAATTCACTCAATCATTCTAAGAGATGATCCTTCTATTAATAAGGGCTTAATCAATTATACAGACTAGATGTAGTACTGAGTTTAATAAATCAATTCTAGAGTTATTTTATGTAGGAAAAAATAAAACTTTAGTTTACTTCTCATAAAGTTCATGCTTGAAATGTGTTTATTCATTGCTGATTGATCTGAGTGCTAAGCTTCTAAGAATTCTCTGGTGCTTTTAGTATTTCCAAAATTTCAACATTTTCCCAATCGATTGTGTGTCCACATTTATTCACATGAACTGATGCCCCCAATTGCCCTGGTACGGCCAAGAATGGGGAGAGGCAGCTCTCTCCAAATGCTCTCACATGGCCACGTGCATACAACCATTACCAGGGAAGTCCTACTCACTGCCTTCTCGCAATGGGGTGTTGTTTACGAAATTGAGAGGACAAGGAGCGGATTCCGGCGCTTTAACCGGGTTGGTAGATACAAAGAGTCCACCTAGGGGAGTTGGAAAACCCTGATTTCAAACCAATGGTGCACATGGGCTCCAGTATCCCGAGGGAACAAATGGCGCATAAACCAATCGTTGGTCACTGGCTACCATGGGAGTGCATCTCCTGACGTTGCTCCACTGCCTTGTGGATTGGACCTTCAGGTCGAAGACTCCAGGTGTGGCCTCCTAAGAAAACCAACTGCTTCGGTTTGGGCACCCATGCAGTGTCCCAACCCTCACATAAATTGGCTGATTTATGTGGGGCATATCTATTTGGTGCCTCCTTGTACCAATGTTTATGTTTAAATGAATAAATAAACATGCATTGATTTAAGCGAGGGTATGTCATGGCGTTTGACCACCAACTGACATTCAAACAGGGAAAAATAAAGAGAGCATCGACGTTGTCCGATATAATGTTTTTTGCTATTGTAGCAGCTGATTTTATGGTTGATGTTAAGTTTTCCTTCTGTAGTCGTTTCGTCCTTTGGTTTGTGTAGGACTGATTGAAGTGTTCATCTAGACACGCATAAATCAGGTGGAGCGGTAGCTAGCTTTCCGCTACTAGACTGTATATTCGGACCCCACCCTATTTACTTTGGTTTGGACAACTGGCTAGGGTTACCAGCTACTCAGAACGAAGCTTGAAGTCTCAAATCTGGTACATGGTAATTGAGTATGCACAATACAAGGCCACAAATAATAAACCTCATGAAACAAAACTAGAATCCTCTTGATGTAAAACTGAGTAACATATTCATAGTTACTGGATTGGAATGTGATCGGTTAAGGAAATAATTGAACAATATTCTACAATTAAGTCTCTTTAAAAATGCTATAAAACAACTGTTCGGTTGGTACCTATTTAAAATAAGGATGCAAATCTGTTACCAGAGAATATTTTCTCCTTACTATTATTATTTCTTTTCCATCATCTTCGTGACATTTTTACTGTATTGGGTTTCTTTCGGTTATGAAAATTCTAGGTAATGGATGCACTTTATCGACCCAAGATATTGCTGATGTTTGTGCATCTGTACAGTTCTGTATGACAAGATTAATCTGTCGGCGTGTTCAGCGTGCTATTGAATACTGTTTGTTGAACACTGATTCCAGAGCCAGTGTAATTAGAAATCATCCTACAGCTTTGGTAAGACATGTGTTTCATTATACCATCAATTGTGTTTGTTTTATAGTCATCATTATTTCCTTATGCCCGATTAATTTACATAACGTGGTACGGCCGCCAATCAATGCCACCGACTTATACGACCAGACTAATGACGCATAAACTAGTGCGAGCAGCCTAGAGTTCCTGTTGATCCTATATGATGGTAGCTTCTCTCATAGCCCAGTCGGTTCAGGTCAGAATGCCATTATCAGCCTTCGCTAGACGAATCATACATTTCACACATACTAGTTTTGTATATAAGCCAAATAAACCACATCACACCATAAGTAAAAATAACAAATATAAAAGATCAAGCCAAAAACTAGCTGTGATTGTGAGATACTGTAACTAATAAGTTGGGAATATCTTAAGAATAGTAAGTTACATAATAGTAGTCAAATAAAAGGTTATAATAAAATGAATATGAATATACATATAATGTAGTTTCTTAGCAGTAATTATACAATAAGAATATATATAATAACAGTCCATAAATAGATCCTAGCCGTTACTATTCACTTATTCGTCGCCCGGATATAACAGTCATCACCGTTTTTTTTTGCAGTATTAGTGAATAACAAGTTTTTCGGTCTGAAAATTTTAGGTTTCACTTAATTATTGGAATGTTATGATTCTTTTAATTCATTTCAAAAAATTATGCACCATGAACCAACCAGTTGCTTAGTAACTTTCTGTATATGATTTAAGAAATTAACTTTTGTTTGTAAGTCTTATGTTGGTTAGGTGGGTAAACGTAATTCGATGGTGGTCTTCCTCATATAAATTGTTTTTTAACTGGATCAATGGTACGGAACTGATTTTCGGCATTACAACTCTGTTTTCCACAATGCTTTCGTTGCTAATTCGCAGTTTGTACACCAACGGAATAGGTGCTCTAGTTGGGTGTCTAAATGTGGCCAGTACAGATACCTTCGTGTTAGCGCTTTCATCCGATTGTTTACAATATGTTCTGCGTGCAACTGTTCAACTGCTGGTTGCAGCTTCTTTGGAATTATGACACGTTTGACAAATGGAAGGCAGTCATCAATGATTGAGAGAGATAGCTTGCGCTGGCAAAGCAGCTGTAGTTCTGTGGAGCTAATCTTTGATGATCACCCTTCTAGGTGGAACTTTCTAACTTCTTATAGGATTGGGTTTTAAAGGGTTTCTTCTATGACTTCATCTGATAACATTGGAGTGTTTTGAATGGCATCTACTACTACACGCCTTGTTTTTGGATTTAAAGCAACGGAAACATGAATAGCTTAGTTTGTCCCGTTGTTGTGTTGCTGATTTATCAGAGGAATATATATATATATATATATATATATATATATATATATATATATATATATATATATATATATATATATATATATATATATATTCTTTAACTGCTCTATAGGGTCGTCATTGAGAAATGGAGTTTACAATCCTTTTATCATGTTTGTTATAGCCTGCTGGTTCAAAAAGAACCCATCCTAACACTGTCCTAATAACATCAGGATTCTTTCTTCAGTCCGTCCGTTGATCCAGGATACAATGGGTCCAGGACGTACCTGAAGCCCAGATAAGCTTCGGTATTTTTCCAAATTCCCTATTCCTTAAGAGCGAAAGACCTTCAATCCAGGTCTTTAAATCTAATTCCTTGTGTGTACCTCGTGACAGCACTAGCACTCAGGTGCTGGTGGTCCCAACCAATATGCGACCTACAAAGGTTCTGTAAGAGTTGCCCGGCAGGGAATTATATTGGGGCAATTAGGCCTAGTGGGTCGAACAGAGATGAAACGGTGAATAGAATTCCTCTCCTTTTTAGAGGGTTTTCCTCTGGTTCAAATCGAAATTTAGAAACATCTTGTATAGCGTCCCACTCAATCCGAAGGGCTCGATGAGTGGACAGTTGATTCAAAGGCATATTCACTATCGTTTCCATACTATCGGATTGCGGAAAAACTTGTCTTACCAGTTCTAAGTTAATTAACCCCCTCGATTTGTTGCCGTTCCTATTGTAGGTTGAAGGTATCCAACATATTTTCGAGCGAAAGATTGCTGTTTCTATTTGTGCGATCTGGGTCTAAAAGTTTTTGCGTATCTTGTTCCGGTGTCTAGTTCACTTGTCTCTTCCCTCCTCTACTTCATATATGACTTTGCCTAGACCTCAAAGATGCTTCAGTCGAGGGATCATTGTTTAGTCCGTAGTCATGAACGGACGCCAAACACCCAACTATTAACCTTGAAGTTGCAATTTCTTTCCGTCTGTTTAGAAAACACACGATGTATATAAAGTATGGTTTCCTAATCTCATTTATCTTCCTTTTTATGGAGGTATCATCCGAACCAATCAAATGTGAATTTTGTGCTTGAAATCATATCAGCATTTGCAAGTTAGTGGCTGATAACATTTCAGCAGGTATTCGAAAAGTTGATTGAGTGTTTTCTAACACCCACTATTTATGACATTTAGGCTTTTGAATGTAAAGAACATTTGTAGGTTTATAATATTTGATTATAATTTTTACATAACATTAATCGTATGCTGTAGAACAACGAATTAAGTGATACAAACGTTAAACGCAGATATTTGTTGATCAGATTATAAATTTTCGTCCCCTGAGGTAGCTGGGACGTATGTCTAAGAAACGCCTACCTCGATGCGCAGTGCTGATTAGCGTAAAAGTGGGCTGAAACCCAGAAACACTCGAATTAGTATAAGGTATCAATTAATGAAGTTACTATCAATCTGAGTCGTTCTGGTATGTTTAGATTCTCATATTGAGGTACTTACAATAGTCGTTATCAGAATTTAATCAATATGGGTTTCAGTAGGGTAGTTGAAATTGTTCCTTTCCAGATCCTAAATCCTAAGTTTCAACATTAATTTATACCCTTTATTCTCTTTTCATGTTTGGTCGTTATTTCACCATAATATACATTAATATTCAACCCGTTTATAGTGCATCATGTTAATTTTACCTTGATATGCTGATGTAGTGAAAACGAATAGTCTTTATTGGTGATTAGATTTGTCTTGATATTTTATTGTGCAAATGTTTTTTTCTAATATTCAAATCCAATTAATAATTTTGGTTAGGTTGTTTCTGGTGGGGTTGGTTCTAATTGTGTTATTCGTGCCGGTTTAACTGAGGTAGCTAATCATTATAATTTGAGATTTGTGGCTCCTCCATCAAGTCTATGTACTGATAATGGAATCATGATAGCATGGTAAGTCAAAAGTTCATGGCTATAAACGTTAAGTATTTAAAAAGTTTCTATCTTATCATTATGTAACAGTTGTAAATAGTAATTAAACATGTCAGATTGATTTCTTCATGACCAGATGGCGGTTTAACGCAATTGGAAAAATGTCCTGAATGTGTTTCATGTTTGCACTCTCTAGCGAAGTTCACCTGCAATCTGTGGAGAAATAATTCTAACTTATCCACCCTAATGCCGTAGTTTGAGATGTTCGCACTCAGATATTTGGGGTGTGACTGAGATGTCTACTAATCGACCTCTAAGTAATCATCAGCGTAAACTAACGATAAAGGTCTTAACTGGGATAGTGATGACGTGAAGTTGAGTTCTACGAAAGCACCAGTTTTTACAAATCACTGATATGCTGTTCTAATGATTACAAACCGGGATAATACTTATATTCAAGGTGTCTTGGTACTTGTTTCCAATCATTATTTAAGCAAGGTGTATCACATTGTCTAGTTAATTAGCCTTTTTTGAACGACATTGGTACTTAATCGTTCATCACAAAGAACTAAACAACATCAAACTGGTAGGTGCAAAGTTACATATTTGTGTTGACATTGTCATTTTTCATCGGGATAATCTGTAGAAAGTGGTCTTAACTTGCTACTCAATTGTGTTAAAAAAGGTACATGTAACCCATTCAACCAGAGAACTAGTGCATTGTTGCTTTCCGAACTTCATGGAATCTATTCGTAACTTTTATAGTATCATTGAATTAGGCTAGGGAAAAGAATCAAGGTCCTCCAAAATTATGCAGTTAGAAGAAATATTTCGAAAGGGATACAAATGAAAACTTGTATACAGTAGAGGCTATAGCTGTTTACCAATTCAAGCTAACCCTTAATTTAAAAAACTGTCCAATCCATCGTTCTGCCATGGACGTAACTTTACTTTCTATCTCCTATAATCTGTCGCTTTCTTCTACTCCTTTATAGTTATTTTTATCAACTATTAATAAACCATTACTGCCACATCTACTTGTTCTTTTCGTGATACTCATCAAGTGGACAATTATCTTCATCTTAACATTTTTCCGTTAGCAGTTGGATTATAACACAATTTCCTCTCAATATCTGATGCATGTCAATAATTTCTAACACCATTTTACTATGGACTACTAGTTTTGGTAAGCAAAGTAAATATAAGTTCGATTGGACAAGTTTAGCAAATGAAATCCCTGAAAAGAAAATTATGTTCATTGAGTAATCTTTATTCCTCTCTAATGACACTGTCTTTCCCTTTCGTTATTTGATCATAAAATAACCGGTAGATATTCATTACTGTTCCTCTTAACAGATCAGTCATCAGTAAAAGATGAGAGATTTATAAATAAAAATAAAGAAGGGTAACGGGTATCATTTGGTACAATGCATCACAATATATTGATAGAAAACCTGTTTTAATTGAATTAATCATATCCCTATAAAATCATCCCTAAAACCCCATTTAAATGAATTATTGATGATAGAACCACTAGCTTAAGTCAGTTGTTTGCATTATGTTGATTTATCCAGATAACAAGTCGTTGATTAATAATAAAAGTAAATATCACATGGCAACTAATGATTTTTTTCCATTTAAATATATATTCTCCTAAATACACTATTTGATTACTGGTCTCAATTAATTGTGTATTGCCCTCTTTCATTACTAATAAGGAATGGAGTTTTACTTCAAAAAGAAAATTCTTCTCGTATTACGGAAGATATCTGTTCTGTTGATTTTTGTCCAAGGTTAAGTTGATTCGTTTTTATTTTTTATATTTTCATGTAAATTAATTGTAATCTCATAAATGTAAATAATATTTTCAGTGGAAAACATAAATTTCAAAGATATTTCACCCCTTTCAAAGAGGCCAAAATAAGACAAGCATTAACGAATTTGAAAGTATTATATGTTAAAAATAGTGGACGATTGCATGTTATGATATAATTCACTTGAACAACTACGAGGATTTGGTGTACGTGATGATGATAGGCACTCGAAACAAATTATACTTATCTGTCGATGAAAGTCGTATTTGTTTTTTTCTCAAAGTGATAAATCGAACCCATGTGTTATTCGTAATCAGTATATATGTGTGATAACTGTTTCTGACATAGTAATCAGTCAAGTGTAAAATGCCTTATATAATCGATAGATATATATGTCCCCCCAAACTTACATAATTCGCATTTATGCATCCATAGAGAATCACAATGATGGAAAGCACGAGTTGTATGAATTACAGTCAACAACATAATTCGAACAATACGAACGGAAAACATGGAAGTGTTATGACTCACAATGTAGAAAACGTTAACGAATATATATGAGTGATTGTTATCTATTTTTATTCATGCCATCTAAAATCTCGAAGTGTTGTCGTAGAAGCTTCAAATTAACAAATTTACGCTTAACAATTAGAGATTTAAATGAATTATTGATGTCACATCTTGGTCCGACTTCTCTAATGTTTCATTCCAATTCGATTCTTTACTACATAGTCTTTATTGTGTTGAAAGCATTTGTAATATATTTCTTAGTGAGTGAATATTCATAAACTCATTAGACTTATTCATCATCGTTACTTTGAGTAGTTCCATCATAAACAAGCATTAATTCAAATACATCTGATATTTTAGTGGAGTTTTATTCTCTGAGCTGAATGAATGTCAATAAGAACCAATCAACATCGAGGTGCACAGAACAAGCTGTGAAACACATAAGGAGAAGTTCGAACACTTCACTACTATCTAAAGTTTGTGCTGATGATGTCGTTCAGAAGAACGATGAAAGCTTCACGACCAAACCATCCAGCTCAAGGAACAAAACTCCACCAAAATCATCTCAACATCCATGATATTATATTAGTAAATTGTTTGTGTAGTTCATATTCATATAATTTCCAAATTTTGACCCGTGTTAAACTTATTTAAAATAAACTTCTATACTTACAAACAATTCTAACTATCGTACATGAATAGAAAAAGTTGATCTGTTTTCTCAATGTAGAAAAAAATACTGGTTACTTAGCTCATAAATTCCTATCCCACTAACAATACAGTTAATGTATATATACCTAAGAATGATTGATAGCCCATGTCAATATTGTGACTGAATACTCTTACATCGACTTATTACTATACAAATTTTAAAATTCATATTGTTACAATACAGATGATCAAAGTAGTAATATCATTGTTTTATGAATATGTATATATATATTTTTCATTCTCATAGATCTACATTTGGTGTTGACTGTCGAGAAGATGTGAAACAAGCTAACATATCAATTGAACCAATTAAATTATCCAATACTATTTTCCAATCATAAGTAATAGTAGTACTATTTCTTTTGTTTAAACTTTGAAATTTTTTGTGAATATGTATAAAATGAACAGTGATTGCAAAAATTCTATGACGTAATTTCTTGAATAAAAGAAATACGTATTCTAAAAACGTTCATTTTCTATTTGAACGAATAAAGTTCACAGTAGTCAGGCGGTGCTTTAAATGAATGACCAAAAAAATTTCAGAGATTTGAACTTCAAAAACAAATAGGACATTTCGTTCGGCAATTCGGTTCAAATATTAGAATCATCGAATATAAATATATGTACGGCCACCATGAGTTGATTGAAGTTGAGACCATTGAGTGTGGTAGCTCAATGTGTTAATTCTCTTGATACCGTTATAAATGAACATCACTATGTAGACTTCTTAATTTGCAGCAATTAACTAGTCAAAATCAATTTATGATGTATATCATCGTGAAACTAAAACAATTATTGCAGCACATATACATCGATATGTTTCGTGTGCTGTTGAGAAGTCTCATACTAGGACGAAACGCCCGATAATTGTTTAACTTTGATCAGTTCGTGATGTCAATGAAATTACCAGTATGGGGATTTGTGAAGTTTGTAGCATTTTCACAGTTGAAATCACGAATCAATCTAAGTTAGACCACCAATGAGAAAAATAGATCGACTCGTGGTTTCAACTCTAACAATTCAATGAAATTAATAACAATATTTTAAAACTTAAAAATACACAATGCATAAGTAGAATTACAATAAGAAATTTATTTACAACAATCAAAAAGAAACGAAATCTTCAAAAGAAATCATTTTAGGATGGATTACACTCTTGAGGTGGTGTAATAGTGTTTGAAGTTTTTCTATGCAGTGATGTAGGAGCTGATGCTGTTGATGAATTTTTCTGAATCTTCTGATTGATAGAGTTGGTGTTAGTGTAAATGTTATCCCGTTTTTTCTGATCACTGCATGATGAGATTTTATTTAGTTCGTTTGAGTTCATATTGTTATGTACTTCTAGAGATGGTTTCTAGAGTTATAATGAATTAAAATTAAAAAACGTAAAAAACAGTCATGTTTACAATTGCAAAATTAAGAAGACGATGATGTAACCACAGAAACTTTATTGGCGTAAAATTCTTTCTTGTTGACAGTCGATGGAATATGTCGCTTTAAGACTGATCCGTCTTAATGCTTGGTCTAACAAAGGGCGGTGAACTGATCGCTTAAACAGTCCTAACTCATTAATGACTTGTGATCGTTAGATGGCATTGATAAGTTGCTACAATTTTATCAAAGACAGAACGTCTGTATATATTTATGAATAAGCGAGTTACTGTGTAACAGTTCAACCTGCAATGACCCATGAAAGAATAAAACAAGCAGTTCAGAAATATTTGTTCACTAGTATCTTCAAACCAAAGCTTCAGTCAAACAAACACAGCACAGAACTTGGTACATATGTGCATCGGTTTAGGTTGCCATATCCTCATTAGCACAAGACGAAATTGGGAGAATCCCAGAGTATTAGGAGTAGTAACAGTATTAATAGAAACATAAAGATTGGGCATCAAAGATATGGTTGAAGAAAATATAAATTAGTGAAATAATCAAAAAGGGTATGAGGAATTCAGGAATACAAATAGTGGATGCGTCTGGGTTATTGTGAACGATTTTGAGTCATGTCAATCACAGTCTAACCATTAGTTACGATGGTAATGCTTACTTAAGACAAAACGATCAGGTAAATAATATTGAGATTAGAAGTACAGTTTTAACTGAAAATAACGAAGCTATAAAACGTAAATCGACTCAAGCCATTGGAATATAAGTTGCATATTATTGGCAGCTAATTCTAATTACAGGTGTAAACCTTTTGACTGGAGACCGAATGATAATAGCCATTTGTGATGATAAGATTAAAAACTTTAATTTTTAAAACAACTAAAAAACATTATAAGCAAAGATGGATAGTGGCTAGCAGTGGAATCCAGGACGCGCGTTTCGTCCTGTTTGGGACTCGTCAACTGGATTCCACTGCTAGCCACTATCCATCTTTGCTTATAATGCTTGTAAATTAAGGCAATATCGAGGCATACGCACAGTATGCACATATGCCAATAAGAGACTGATCAATTTCAGTCCAAAAACATCAATGGGAAGATTCAAACAAAACAATATCAAGTGAATTAAAAACAGTTTTCAAAAGAAATGGCATTTTAATGTTGAACGGTATAATGAACATTTTGAAGTTATCATATAAAACATGTTAGAAATGTAGACCAGTAATAATAATATTTACCTGATTTGAAGGTTCTTTCTTAGAAATTTGCCAAGATGGATTGAAAGGTTTAGGCGCTGCAGGAGTAAGAAAAATTTCATCTTTCTTATTTTGTGGTTGAGAAATAGTAGGACGATCAATGAATTCAGATGGTCGACGATTAGCATCTTGATGATCTTTACCAATATTAGCATGAACAGAACGGAGTACATCCTGTGGTAATTGAGATGTACTTTCTGCTAATGGTCCATGTTTCAAAAAGCTAAAATCCTGGGAATATATTATTAAGAGAAAGTGATTTAACACAATATGAAAACAAATCAGCATATTTTATATTGTTTAGATATTATCCTTTGCAAATAATTCATAGTAGTACATGCAGCATTTCTTTTACATTTGTATTTTTCAAAACATTTTTCTGTGTATTTAACATTTGATTGCTCATGAGAGAACTATCGTTCGTTTAATAACTGAGATGAATGCTACTCGACATCCGATTCGGAGGTTATATGGTTCAGTATTAAATCTCAGGTTGAATAACATTCACTGATGAAACTTCGCAAATCAGTACAAGAGTTTATTATTCTGCACATGATGTCAATTAATGATGAAATATACCTTCGAATCATTAAATTTCTACATATTACCTCTTCGACAGAAATAACACTTCTTGCATTAATAGCTTATTTATAGCACTACTAAGTGTAATATTGAAGACCATAATGAATGAACGATAATTTCTCTTTTAATTTTGCATACGAAACTTAGGCTAGACACACAGTACAACGGTAGTAACTAAAGGCGAATGGAAATATACACTATGATGACTCGTCAATCCAAAAGCTAGAATATATACAATACACGAAAAATACCCGTTCTTTAGAAGTGTGTATATTCAATTATGAGACGCTTGGCCGTGAGTATTGGGAATTTACTTCAATTAACATAAAAAATAAATAGCATTAACAGTCCGCCTCGTTGAAGAACGTTGTGTCACGTATACCATTAAATCTGCCGTCTATGACATTTTGTATATTGCATATTGTCTATCAAAGTGTTTAATAACAGAACTGAGACACGCGTGAAATCGACGTTCAAAATAATGATTTGTCTAAAGAATGATATGTGCAGAAATTCGAACATTTCCTTTCTACATGAAGTTTGTGCTGATGATGTCGTTCAAAAGAAAGATAAAAGCTCCACGACTAAAACATCCAGCTTAGAGAACAAAACCACCAAAAAGGACGACTCCATTGTAACAATATACAAATAAATTGGTTACAAACCTCAACTAGAGAGGTACCCGTAACGATTGACACATCTGTGTGTATAAAGATGGAAAGGCTCCCTATAGTAATAACATAAGGATTAGTCACAACATACGATAGAGTAAATGATAAATGGTGGCTGTGTCTACAGTCAGTAATGACAATCGACAGTCAAAATGGGACTAAGAGCACATAAAATGGAAGTCGTTACGCTCAAACGAAGATCCAAAGAATGCACAAAAACTGGGAATAACTGTTACAGAGGTTGAGAGAATGTAATCACAATAATAAACACAGTAAATGCCGTAAATAATTCAGAATATTATACAGTGAGTGACGTACTTTTCACTAGTAGGGGCGACCAAAACAAAACGTGGCATCAGTCCATAAAGTTGCTAGCTTCTGGTCTGAACCATGTTGGTGGCTTCAGGCTACTTGATTTGGGAGACATGCGACTATCGCAACCAATGGTTGGATATTCTGGGTAACATGGCTCAGAATCAATCACAATGGCGTATGTGTATACACTCGTTGTCTTCCCTTAAACTGTGAGATTAAAATTACCTTATACCTTTCTTCCTACAAACTAATTCTTTTTCCCTGTATCACATCGTTATATACAGTCTTTTTTATATATTACTACTATTAAATTGACTGCTTCTATGAATTCGGTGTGTCATGTTGTTGTGCTAATGAGATGTGGTAAGTTGGACCGATGCATATATGTGCCTGTTCTCACGTTGTAGATGACCGACGTTTAGAAATGATCGAAAATCCTACTGTTTACTGAATGATTGCAAGTAGTATAAACCAATACACGAAAATGAGATAAATTAGATGAGGAAGACAGTGAATGCAAACAAACTTATGATGAAATTATCGCTTGTTGATCAGACGCAGGTGGGTTGGTATGTGTGATATATTGGTAAATCGGTCACAGTAGTGCAACTGCGATAGTATTGCTGACTCCCTATCTTCCTGTACTGTGTTTCTTATATGTAGATTCTTATTGTTTTCGGTATTTTATTTTGCTGATTTCATGCCGCCGTGGTGCTGTGATCTGTAACAACTTTAACCGATACACACTCGTGTTACTTACTACATCAGTAAGTGACTGACTGACTGGTATTAAAGTAAAGCCTAACTATGAAAATCTAATTGAAAATAATTATTTTCATATTCTAAATGAATCATATAACATAAAAGTAGTATACACATCGAATCACTTACAGGATTTAATTTTTCCGAATGAAAATCGGTAGTCGGTTTTGAACAATTGTCGACATATTCCTTTTTTAAAAGCGGAGTAGATGAAAATGGTGAAAGAAAATGATCCGATTTGTGGTTGGTAGGCGATTTAACTTTTGATCTAGGCAATTCCGTAAGTGGTTTACGTGTTGAAATATGATGTCTCATAGGGCCGTTGTCAGGAATGGCTGTTGATGATGAAGACGACGATGATGATGGTAAGATTGGTTTTTCAGGAATGACAAAATTACTCGACTTCGTTGATAAAATGGGATGCGAAATTTTGTTCGGAACGGTATCCTGAAACCGTTACATTAATTATTAAAAAAAAACGAACTTAACACACATGTATAGTTTTTAGCAATGAGTAAAAATTGATAATTGCACCTGAACTAGACAGTAATCACATCCGCAAATCTTAATTACTCTACTAGGGTTTTTCTGTAAATATGTACTTATACAACGAACAGCAGAGTACGAAATGTTCGAAAAAAGTTAAAACATGCTGATTGGATAAGTGTCTTTATTGAAATAATAAATATATAGCGGTTTTTTAAAACAATTAATTTGAATTAAGCAATCGAGACTGTCTAAAGGTCAAAAGACTGTCCTGACTACTTGATAACATCTCAGACAGTAAAGCTGGGTGACCTAGGTTCGAGTCCCCAGGAGGTTATCAGTTCCCTCAAGATTGCAGAAACCCCTTGCCAACTAGTACGAAATACACGTCCTGGGTTTTTCGCTGACTAGCTTCAACCACTTAATACTTGAACATAGTGCACGAGATGTTGAGTCATTCAGACCAGTGGGCACATCGCAACTATACAGATAGAATTTAGCGAGGACCAAAGAATTAGACAAAAATGACATTAGTCAGTGTTATCAATGTACTGTATACATACAAGTCAAACATCAACTGCTTCTCTTCACGCTGTGCAGTTTCTGCAACAGTGTCGTCCAAATATTCCCTGAACTAACAAAAAATGTTTCAGGTTTGAGAATAGGTTGACTAAGAAAGTATGTGCAATATACAAAAGTCAATGACACTTACATAGAGAACAGGTTTTTCTTCAGATTTCGCTAAACCTGTAGGTTCTGTAACAGATACAGAGGGACGACTGCGTTTATTATCAGATGAATATTCAGGAGACTGTTGAGGACGTTTAGGCGAAGTGATAACATTAGCAATAGCTGTAACTGCAGCACCGACGCGAGAGAAGATTGATGTAGATGAGGTTTCGGAAGATTTACGAGAAGACGGCGAAGATGATTTGTTTGTTACAAGTGTACTAACTGTACCTAACGAGTCTAAGAATAAAACAATATTGAACATGAGCGTAATAAAAAAAAGAAATATGAAGAGATATGTTAAGATGTGTAAAAATGTAACCATCGATTGTTTATTGTTTCAGATAAATTTACTTCAAGAATTGATTTCTGCTACATTAGAGGAAATTACGTGATATTAGTAATAAATATAAGAAATAATACACTTACGAGGAAACTTTGATAGAAAAGAATGTGATTTCTTCTAAACGATTAAGCATTAAACTGAACGACTTGATCACGCAAAAGTTGGAAACTGTGGCATGACTTTTAGAATTCATCTAAAAACAAGTAAACAGTATTTCTAACACTCCGACAAATTAGCACCTTGACGTTGATCTACCTGAGTACACCGTTTATATTTCAAGCTAAAAACAAGATAACTTTTGGGCTATACAACGAGTGTTGAATTACGATAGATCATTTTAAATTCTTCATTTTATTTGGTGACCGACAAAAATTCAGACTTAACGATTGATAAAGTGATGGTGCAATTGCGAAGTCCTACCCTTAGCATAAGGACATAAATTGAATAATTTACGTTACAACCAATGACCATAAGTTGAACGAATTATACACTCTTTCTACTATTCTAGGTAGAAATTTCGGTACTTGTTATTGTAAATCCTTCAGAGTTCTCAGTCACAAATGTAACGCCTCTCCGTTACAGTTATGCTACCTTAATTATATGGGGATATATGATACGATGCAACATGACCTAGCCTAACAGTCAGGTCAACTGATTGAAGAATGAGTGACCTACAAGCTGACTTCCATTAATCGCTTAAGAAATTTCACCATGTGTATTTTGTGCTCAGCTGTTGTATATAAACAAAATATTTTGTTGCATGAGCGACTTATTCATCTAGCTAGTGGTCTTGTTTTTGTTTCCTACCCATCCAAGTGGTGGAGTCAATAACTGCAGTCTCACAAGTATTTATCATTAGGCTATATTATATCATAGAGTTTGTCTGTCGACAAGCGTTCTATTAATTGACTTTAACTAGCAAATTACTAAACGCCCATAACAAAGTATGAAAAGTATATGATACAATTTATAACTTTTGATCAAAAGTATCAGTCAATCAGTAAACATGAGATTTGATGGTAATATGCGTCAGTTGATGTTCCCACATTAGCAGAACCCAATGAGTGAAAGCAAACTATGATGCAGACTTCAGGATTTGAAGGAAGACAAAGAAAGAATACTAACGACGTTGATTTCCGATCATGTCACCAATCGTCTCCAACAGAGAAGTCAGTGCTTGTTTACCCAGGTCAACTCAGCGCTCCATCGTTTCATGTACTGATAATATGTCGTAAACCGCCTACTAGTAAAATTCGTTTCAAGATACTCTCATGTTAAACAGTATTAAGAATAGTGTAATCCCCTTATGTTGGAATAATTGTGACGGTTATGTGAAAAACTGTTTGGATTGATCAGATTGTGAATCTTCATCTACTAGGTAGGTCAAGACTTGTATTATGTATGCTTAACGACTTACTGTCTCAAAACGAGCAATGTTAACTGACGAAGATGTAAGTTGGAAAAAAGCTAGGGCTAGTCAGACCAAAACATCCCGTCAGTCCATGAAATCATCGACTTTTGTTCTAAGCCATTTTAGTAGATGCGGACTGACTGGTTGAAGTCAGCAAATTAAATTTGGCTAAGTGGTTGAAGAATTTAAGTAAGATGGCTGAGAATCGATCACAATGGTACAGATGCATTTAACTTCCACGAGATCTTCAGTGCAAATAATTTTCACTCAATTTTTCTACATTAGATACTTAATATTTAATTTTATCAATAATATTATCATTATTTAACACTACAATAACTAGTAATCTCATAATTCATGGTTATTCATTTAAGTTTATGAAAAAATACATTTAAAAGAAACAACTAATTTAATTAATACTAACTTTCTTGATCTGATTGTACACAAGGAGTTATATTATTAAAATTCATTGAGCTTGATGAATTGGTTAAAGGAGTTGATTGAATAGTAGATGAACTACTACAATGAACATCAGTTTTATTGGAAGACAAATTCTGACGAACATTTTCTGCAAAAGCAACAGCCATTCTCGGATCACATAGTTTATTCACTAATTCACGATAGTGAGATACGCGTTGTTGTAGTTTTGACGATTTTTCTAACATCTAATTTATTTCAAAATCATATAAACTATTATTGATAGAAACAATGTATAAATACGAATTAGAAAATAAATTAATTGAGAAGTATATCTAATTTTGTGGAACGGTGATTCAGTGGTTAAAGTGTTCAAAGTTCACTTTCAGACTGTCGGTTCCAGATCTATTCTAGCTAATTTGATTTGAAGAATTTAAAGAATGGCTCGAAACCAAATCTCTATTCGATAAACAAGTAATAAGGAGGTAAACCTTTTAAATGTTGGAACAGAATGATGTTTAGGCGATAGGCATTAATACGATTGTATGGATTTAATTTCTCTAAACCAAACATTGACAGTTATTTCGGTAGTTTTGTTCGCTGAGTTGAATGTTTTGGTCAGTTCGTGCTGATGGTGTCCATCTGAGCTACAAATCTTCTCCACTATCTCATTGACAGTTATCTATAGGTTTTCAAAAGCTTGACTTATAGCAAATTATATGATGTAATACCGTTGGCATACACAGTACATTAATACTTCTATACTATCTCATGGATACGTAGCTCATTTATCAAGCAGAGGATAGGGTTTACAATTGATTGATCACTGGGTAATGACCATTGTCATTTTTGTCTAGGTCTTTAGAGCTGATCAAGCTCTATCGGTTAAGTTGCAGTCCCACAGGGAGCATCAGTTCTCTTATGATCACAAATATACCATGCTGGTGAGTGCCAACTAACACGAAACATGCCCAATAGTTCCAACCACAAAGCAAAGAACAGCGCATTCGACTTCAATCCATACTTTCAGTGTGTAAATGCATCTTACTGGTCCAGGTTAGCACAGAAGTTTAGTTCAATTCTCATACTGACTTCTTCAGATAACCACAAACGACAAAAAAGTGGTACGATGTCGTCACTTAGGCCTAGATTGAACACATAAAAAACATGATAGATGAAATTCAATAGTGACTGGAAGACATGACAATGGTTATTACTCGACGTTAGAATGAAATGATAAATTATTCATATCGGAGATAATAGTTAGACCATACAGCTCAAAGGTAAAATCTATCATAGAGACGCAGATGGTGCGGATTGAGATCAGTGAGACAGTAAGCCTCCGTAAGATTACAAATACGCCTCACTGATAGATGCCAATCATTAGGTTTAAGATCAATCGCCTTTTCAGAAGACTGCTTCCAACCATTTAACGTTATTCAAAGTCTTGTTAAAATGAAACTACATTTACTACATTTAGTGTTACCAAAGATTAGTTATAATTCGTTAAAAACTTCATGACCTTATTTAATCGATGACGTAGCGTAACAAAAACAGTTGGCCTTTGACACTGATTAATGAGTAGTGACAAATATCATGTTTGCCTAGTAATTTGGTGTTAACGGAATTTCGTCTATCAAATCGCAATGTAGAGACTAGTGTGAATGATCTGAAGTCGTATGCATTATGTTGAAATGTCTAGAGGTTGGAATTTGTTGGTAGGAAACCCTTTACATAGGTTTCCTACCAGTTGACACTCGTCATCAGAAAAGTGTAACCTCATAGGGATTGATGCTTACTGTGGGTGTGAACGCCGGTCAATCAGCTCCAAAACCTGAGACCACAACACTGACAAAATTAACGAGTATTTGATCACTCTTTGTAGTTATATATGCCTAGAGAGATTACATTATAGTCTTTCAATAAAGTAATGAGAATTAACAAACTTACCTCATTCACCTCATCATTTTTAGCTTTTAACTGATTAGTCAATTCAACATGTGAGTTCCTAAGTGAGAGTAGCTCTTGTTTTGTTTGATGCCACTGATCTTCAAGCTCGTTTCTTTCTAAAATAATTTTGTTTAGTGACTTTTTCTACAAGAAAAAAAATATAGAGCAAACCAAACGAAAACTGACACTAAAAAAACTAGGTTGTGAAAAAATAAGTTAAATAGGTAAGTAGACAAGACCTGGATGCAAAACTAGTAAGTTGTTAACAAAATGCAGGATCACAATTATGGTGGCATACACTGTCTTCCTCATCTAATTTATCTCATTTTCGTGTATTGGTTTATACTACTTGCAATCATTCAGTAAACAGTAGGATTTTCGATCATTTCTAAACGTCAGTCATCTACAACGTGAGAACAGGCACATATATGCATCGGTCCAACTTACCACACCTCATTAGCACAACAACATGACACACCGAATTCATAGAAGCAGTCAATTTAATAGTAGTAATATATAAAAAAGACTGTATATAACGATGTGATACAGGGAAAAAGAATTAGTTCGTAGAAAGAAAGGTATAAGGTAGTTTTAATCTCACAGTTTAAGGGAAGACAAAGAGTGTATACACATACGCCATTGTGATTGATTCTGAGCCATGCTACCCAGAATATCCAACCATTGGTTACGATATTCGCATGTCTCCCAAATCAAGTAGCCTGAAGCCACCAACATGGTTCAGACCAGAAGCTAGCAATTTTATGGACTGATGCCACGTTTTGTTTTGGTCGCCCCTACTAGTGAAAAGTACGTCACTCACTGTATAATATTCTGAATTATTTACGGCATTTACTGTGTTTATTATTGTGATTACATTCTCTCAACCTCTGTAACAGTTATTCCCAGTTTTTGTGCATTCTTTGGATCTTCGTTTGAGCGTAACGACTTCCATTTTATGTGCTCTTAGTCCCATTTTGACTGTCGATTGTCATTACTGACTGTAGACACAGCCACCATTTATCATTTACTCTATCGTATGTTGTGACTAATCCTTATGTTATTACTATAGGAAGCCTTTCCATCTTTATACACACAGATGTGTCAATCGTTACGGGTACCTCTCTAGTTGAGGTTTGTAACCAATTTATTTGTATATTGTTACAATGGAGTCGTCCTTTTTGGTGGTTTTGTTCTCTAAGCTGGATGTTTTAGTCGTGGAGCTTTTATCTTTCTTTTGAACGACATCATCAGCACAAACTTCATGTAGAAAGGAAATGTTCGAATTTCTGCACATATCATTCTTTAGACAAATCATTATTTTGAACGTCGATTTCACGCGTGTCTCAGTTCTGTTATTAAACACTTTGATAAACAATATGCAACATTGTACAAAAGTGTCATAGACGAAGCTGACTTATTCCAAATCCGTATACTATAAAACTAGTGTTTGATAAATATTTAATAGAATTGACCAAACCAATCGTTGTTCATGTTTTATATTTCACTTCTATCTCTGCATCCTAAGATTCTTCAAAAACACGGTCAACTATTATTCTATTGAGCTTGCTAGATCTATCGAAGCATCCAAGTCACCCGATTGAGATACGAGCAAAACCGGAGTTCGCAAAACAACGATTTGCGCGTATCTCAATCTGGTGACTTGGACGCTTCGATAGATCTAACAGTTTTCAACTTGTGACGTGTCTGAGGCGTTTAAACGAGTCCTTCAAGTATGAAATAAAAAGGCTTCGATAGCACAAAGGACAGCTGATAGCTATGTCTAAATTTGATAACAGTTTATGAAGAACCGAAACCCGAACCAAGAGCAAAACAATAAGGAAACTGTTGCGTTTAAACAAATGCACAAAACTGTGGATAACCGCTACAGTGATTAAGGTACAGTAATTATAATGAAAAATACAATAAACTATATAAGTATATGTGAACATTTCAGATTCTTACACTACAACTTGCGTTACAACATAAGTTTAAAAAGTGCTGGGATTACAACTGCTTACTGAGTGTAAATAAGTAGTATAAAACAATATACAAAAGTGGTAAGGAAGAGCAGTGTAAGGCAAACTTAACACAACTCTTTGTGTTAAGATTAATATTCTGTCGAAAGCATTGTTCATGTGTATATAAATGACTGAAAACATAATGATTACTTAGTAGTTAATATTAATGATGATTACAATTGATTTATGATTTTATGTCATGTATAAAAAAACCATATCCAGCACAGATTACCTGTTCAATAGGATTCGGCAATGCAGTAGACGTTATTTCATTGCAATTTCCATAGAATAAGTCCCAAATCCATGGACATTTCTAAAGGATATATAGTAAAGTATAAACACATTATTTGGGTATTAAAGAAATTGATCGATTACAGAAATTCAACTCAATGTTTAAAGCTATAAACGAAATATATGTAACAACTGATATTAGTTGTTGTGACTTTATGAGCCGCTTGTTGTCAGGTAATCTATTCGCCAGTCAAAATACAACTTATTAGCTCTTGTACTGTGCTAAACCAATGACGTTCGACCGGTCTGATCAGCCTAGCGTCCTATTGGTCTGTTGTTTGCCTAGCCCGTCCAGCTCAGTCAAGAATGCCAATAACAGCCTCTACTATGCGAATCATTTATTTCAGACATACTGGGTTTATATACCAAACAAACAGACCGCAACACAGTATAAAATAGGAAATAACACTCGTAAAAAATATGGTCAAAAGTGGCTGTGAACGTGGGAGGCAGTAGTCAATAAACTGAACATGGCTTAAGAACAGTACAATAATAATATAAATAAAGCTTATGACAAGAGGAATATTGATATACAAAATCTAGTTACTGAATATCTATACCATAAGAATACAAAAATAATATTAGTCCATTAATAGGCCTCAGACGTTACTCGTAATGTAGTATTCACTAGGATATAACAATATTCATATTTTTAGATTGCAGATAGCAAGGGAATTAAGTAAACACATTTTACTCTACTTTCGACTCGTCAGTTGGTTGTACTCGCGTCAAAATGTTAACATTTACGCTGAAACTAGAAATGATGTCAGTGATTATGTATGGACTAGGTATTTTCGACATAGACATTAACATAGAGTCTAGTAATACTGTGCATTGACTTAAGTGGCCATACCTCATTAGCACGACGAGACCAAAATAACGCGAAATCGAAATATTGTTGTAGCAATGATAAGAAGAAAGATTAACCTTGAGAACATGATTTAAAATGTTAGAGTAGAAACGTTTGAAGTGATATCGTAATTTAAGATTTACAGGAAGACAAATAGTTAGTGTATCTGCCCCAGTGTCTTTGAGAATGGAATATTGATATTTGAAACCATAAGTCTCGGTGCAAACATAGGAATGTAGGTAAATCTCAAATAGGATGGAACACATGTTCTGGATTCCATGTAGTAAAATATACAAACTAAGAAAGTTATGCCGAAAAAAAACAATGACATAAAAATAGACAAATAAGATGAGGATGGAGTGGGGAAAACGGGTAGTAGTAATAACAACAACAAATGATTCAGAAGAAACTGAAAACTGAATACTTCTACATTGTTTAGGTCGAATTCAACTAATTTATCTAAATTCTTCCATACTCTAGTTTTAGTCATTCCAAGGATCAAGTTCAGAAAATGCATTTAACACTACAGAGATTCAGTGTTGCTTCTACTCGGTCGAGTTTAAATACTTTAAAATATTTTGGTGGAGTTTTGTTCTCTGAGCTGGATGGTTTGGTCGAACGATGAAAGCTCCACGACCAAACCATCCAGCTCAGAGAACAAAACTCCACCAAAATCATCCACCTGAGCTACAAATCTTCTCCACCATCTCACTTTAAAATATTTATATATATTATCCGGATGCATAGCACAAGTCACAACCACCTTAAACAGAGCAAATGTGTAACTTCGTTGACTAGCTTAATATTTCTGTTTAGAACTGTGCTTTTAAACTCGATGGTGTTGAGTATACGGATAAGTTACAAATGAACAACAATTTGCAGTGTAGTATCTTGATTTACATTAATGTTGTGTTGTCCTGTTTTTTTCAGGTTTAGTTACGATGAAAATACGTTAGTCTGTGGAGGCCCGTAATTTAATCGTCATTTAGATCGAACGATGTTGTCGAAAGGGCTTTCCACTTTAATGGATCGTATAAATCGTTTGTTATCGCCTATCCTCCTATATAATCGTCGACTTAAATCGCGTTAGTCAATAACGGAATTAAATAAGTCGAATAACGAGAATGGACTTGTGAATACATATATTTTGTATATAAAGCGAATGGAATAGACAGAAGAGAAACGACGCCGAGTGGAGATGACTGGTAAGCCAACTTCCCCTTTAACCAAGCGTTAATCAATATTTATGAGTTACACACAAGTAAGTTACAGACATGTGATGAGTAACGAGATAAGAAATGTACACACACCTACGCGCTCATATAAAAACAGTCAAGATTGATAAGCGAATAAATAACAAGGTCAGAATGTGACTCTGGTAGAATGAATAGAATGGGCTATCCGAAAGCTAGAATAAATCATATGGGCTTAACATAATAACCGACACTACAAATCTACGGTAAATGTGATTTGAAAAGGCCTTAGTTAAAAACGCTACTATGATCAGATAATAACATACATTTTCAAGTTTATTTAGAAATGACCGTAATTGATTTAAAGACATATTTGGACCGACTGCAATATTTTCTTTTGAGCAGAATTGTTGTACTAATTCATCTAGATCACCTAAACATTTTATTAAATGAAGAAAGAAAGCTTGAATAAGGTCATACATTATTTTTTATACAATAATAAAATTACCCAAACAATAGAAAACTGTGGTAAGGAATCTTTTTCATCATATAATGGATATGACAATTGTTTGATGCGTTTTAGATCATGTTATTTCCAAGTCAATGTATATGTCAGTGTTAAATTTGTAGTGAACAAATGTCAAGCATTAGAAAATTCCAAATCCTGATCAAAATGCTTGTACGTGGTGTTGGTCAAATGCCCTTCACGTTTAACAAAGACAATAAATAAATAATTTAAAAAAAACACGGGAAAAACATTGGATATGTAGTGGCTGTGCTTCGTTAACCAATCACCCTCGTAACCGTTATTACATAAACTTCAACGGTGTTTGAAATCAGAAGGCAAAGAGAAGCATCGACTACAGTTTTATTAGTAGATCATTCAGATCACAAAGCATTGAAGCGAATAAGTGAGTCAGAGAACCGAGAGTGTAGAGTGTTAAATGTACATGTATGTATATAAGGAAATTAATTGATAGTCGAATCAACTAAGCAGCTAATGATAAAGCTAGCTGAGTGAATATACGCGTAGGCGATAAACAATGTTCAAGCATACATATTTCATACAAGCACAACAATAATAAAGGTACAATAAGTTGTTATAGTAGGAATGACTTTGTCCGCTAAATAAGTTAACAAAAGGGCTTAACTGAATTAAATGAGAATAAACTCAATTGCACGTGAGTCGCTATAGATATATCTAATGTTCATTTACAAACATTGTGATCAAATAACATCACATACATGCTACAACTGTGTTTATAGGGATTGATATCATATAAGCTAACAATCATACCAAGAATCTCCCACAGCTAAACCAATGGTGCACATGGGCTCCACTATCCTGCGGGAACAAATGGCGTATGAACCAAACGTTGGTGACCGGCTTCCATGGGACTGCATCTCCTTACGATGCTCCACTGCCTTGTGGATCAGACCTTCAGGTCGAAGGCTCGGAAAGTGGCCCCCTAAGAAAACCACCTGTTTCGGTTTGGGCACCCGGGCAGTATCACAGCCCTCACACATATCGAATGAGATTTGTGTGGCGCATATGTATTTGGTGCCTCTTTGTATCAATATCTATGTGTTAATTAAAATAAATAAACAGCTAACTGTTCCTTCTGACTTCGGCATCTCTTAAACACAGTTGATTTCATCAAATGGATTTATTCACTAACAGTGTTGCTTGTAATGATTATTCATTAAAGAAATCAATATGTAAAATAAATGTCATAGAAATAATAAAAAAAAACATCAAATAGAACCAAAATCACATTCAATCAATGTTTGATTTCCCATTAATAAATTATATTTAAAGAGTTAACATCTATAACAGGGTTTTTCTTCTCTCTTTTTTTCACTGTATTTACTTAAAACAGATTAAGCTAATACGATGAATAGTTCCCGAGAACCATTTATGATAGTTTTAATCAATGATATGAACTATTACGTAATTTCATAAATTTTTTTAATAGAAATATATGCATAGGAAATGTAAACAGTTCAGTGTCTGAAAAGAAATTTAACTAATTCATTCGAATTCAATCATCTAAATATATTAGATCTATGAACCTTTTTAAGACAGATGCTATTTATCATTAACGAACAAAATAAGTCAAATTCATTGTTCAATTAGATTCTCACGTACCTTTAACTTTTGAATAAGCCATTTCTTTAGATTCTATTAATTGTTGCAATTCTTCGATTGCCACTAAAAAGAAAGAACATATACATACATACTAAGGATGATAATACTCTTAACAAGTTAGTGAGTATCAACTTCGTTCCTAATACGTATGTGGATTGGCTCAAGTTGCTGTAACACATTAACACGAATAGATGAATATTGAGAAAATTAAAATAATATAGAAGCATGAATAATGAGAAAGACTAAACATTGAGAATATGTTACCGGAAGAACAGTACAAAATTATAAATAAAGGAGAACTAGAATTCAAAATCTTGAGCACAATAAAGAGTAAATGTATTTGTACCATTGTGACCGATTCTCAGCCATCTTACTTAAATTCTTCAACCACTTAGCCAAATTTAATTTGCTGACTTTAACCAGTCAGTCCGCATTTACCATCATGGCTTAGATCAAAAGTCAGTGATTTCATGAACTAATGATATGTTTTGGTCTGACCAGCCCTAGCTTTTTTCCAACTTACATCTTCGCCAGCTAACATTGCTCGTTAAGATAGTAAGTGGTAAAGCATACTTAACACATCACGACCTACCTAGTAGATGAAGATTCACAATCTCACCAACTGATTAGCCAAATTTGCCCAATACTCTATGTATGACCTCAGAATCGCTAACTCGGTTGTTGTACAATATCTAAGCAATGCTTCGAAAACACATGTGATCAAAATCTTTCAGACTACACATATCTGCTGCTTTCACAGACCATATTTCATAGCCACTAACCATCAGCCTTAAGACCGACACAATAAACATGGTAACTATACACGTGTAGTCTTATTTTATCAATACTAGTAAGCCCCCGTGAATGTTAATGGTAGAACATTCAGAGCCTTCCTTATATTTCTGATCAAAACTGTACTGAGGCATGTGACTACTGTTATATCCAAAATGAATTTCAATCATATGATTAAAGGAAGACATTTCATCCTTTGAACAAGCTTGCACTGTTGTGAAGTGGCTAAAGAGAGTCAGCGAGACCCTGAACCAAGGTTCCATGTTAGCTGACTCTCGTTAGTAAGCAGTATCTGTAAACTTTGGAAAAGTGGTGGCCCAAATGGGGTTTGAACGAGAAACTTCATTGGTAAATTTCGAACAGCTCTGAGGAGTGGAGATATACTAAATTAGTTGTTAGTCAATTATTAATCAAGGTAAGTTTGGAAGGTGTTTTCCGACAATTATTAATTTAACCCCATGTGAAAAACACTAACATTATATAGTTGGTTTGGCAATAATAACCTCTATATTTCATTTAAGCTTAATGAAGACCGCAGAACATGATAAATATACCAGCACTATTTGTTCACCTTTTTAGGCATGAAGATAGACCTAGAAAACGTGATTATGTTCCAGGCAAGTAAATAGTCAGATCAATTAGTGACAGCCAACAGAATACGTTGGAAATGAGAAAAACATCGCAAAGATAAGGGTATGATTACAGAAAGCATCGTCTACCTTCTTTTTTGTGCAACTCTGTCATCAACTTTGACCGTTCACATTCCCAATCAGCAGTGATTGAGTTTAAACGAGATTCAAAACTGGAACGGACATGTTCAATTTCTTTGGCGGAATTGCTCATTTCTTTTTCAAGCATTTCAAAGACAGCAGTTTGGTCGAGGAGAACAGTAGAACTTGACTGTTTTGTAGGTATTTGAGACGACATTACTAATAGTTCATTATATTTTATGTTCAGCTCATTATATTGGTCTATAAATTCACTTAGGCATTTGTCTAGAGAAAATGTACTCAGTTCCCGTATACGAGCAAACAATCCGCTTTGTAGACCTCTAGCCAATGTACTTAACAGGTGATAGAAATCTTGCTCTGTTTCGACCGAGCCCAGGCACGAGTTTTCGGACAATGTTACTTTGGAAAGTTCTGAAAGTTTGTTAACAACTGAAGACACGGTCTGTAATTGTTCACTGTATGATGAAAAAGCACTAGAGGTATCGGATAAAAGGCTTTTGATACTTTTGAGATCAGAAAAAATAGTCCCACATGAAGTTATTTCATTCTTTTCCTCGTAACAATACATTTTATATGGGAATGAATTAATTTCATCAATATCCTTTAAATCATCCACGTTTTGAAAATCACAAGCTCTTAGAACACGGCCAAGACTAACGATATCTTTTTTCAGATCATTTATATCAGAAACCGTTGAACCAAGCACCACACATGGATCCTCTTCCATAAATCTCTAAGGAATAAGAGGGATTAGAAGGAACAAACTAAATGACATGCATATTTATCACGAACTTAAAAAAACTGATAAAATAGGAGAAAAGGGAAATAAAAAGATAAATATTTGCGAATAGAATTGGGGAAACAAAGTGGTCGAGTAAATAACAGAAGTTAATTATCAGTGGAACACTGATGAAAAGACTTGATTGTGGACAAGGTTGTCTGGGCTTCTGTTAGAGGTATAAGAGTGGCTGACGCTCAGTTGCCCACACCGTGAAAGGGGACATAAAAATGAAACTGGGTTAGTGGTGGTCTTAGTGACATGAGATCGTGACAACAGATCCAAAGGCTATTGTTGGGGATCAATTTCCAATCTGTAGCTTTCGTCATCAGACAGCAGTATATCACTATGGTTACTGGTTTCTCAGGAAAAATACTTTAATACCATCATACCCCTGTACAGTCAGAAGAATGACTGCGTACCCGAACTTATAAATGCTACTATTAATCTTGGCGTTTTCTAACCGATTTCTGGCATAATATAACCAAGACGAACGATCATTATAGCTCGACTGCTCCATGACAATAGGTAGACCCGACCACCACACCACGGTACCAGTCGCAGTCGAGAAAATACTAAACAAATCAATATTCGTCAGAAATATTGGTGTGGCTGCAACCTGACTGAAATGTATGTAACCAGGTAGGTGAGATGGCAAAGGAGTGGTGCTAACTGAATCTATTTAGAGTAAAATTTCACAACTGGTAAGCGACTCAAGCACTAGGTTGTTACTAATTGGTATTTGACGTATATACAAGATTTAACAGAATAAAGCTAATTACATTAAAATACTATGTCATATACATTAACGAAAAAAAGGATGATGAATTACTGCTAGCAGTTGCGTTATAGTATGGCTATGTGGTTATATTACGTTAGGATGTGACGACTGTAGTCAGTCAGTAACAACGTAGAACTTCGTACGTACGAATACCAGTTCGAGTTGCCACACCACATTAGCACAGAGATGCAGTTGTCGACTCAAATCCCGTAGTGGTAGAGGCGGTAAGACTATGAGCAGTAATCGGAAAGATTAGGGTTTGAAGATGTTATTTAAAGAGGATAATCCAGTGAAGTAGATTTGGAAAGAAAAAGAGACAAGGAGGATTCAGGAGATTAAAATTTGGGAAAACACAGAGTGGATGCACCTGAGCCATTGCAAACGATTTTGAGCAATGTCATTCAGGGTCTCTAACCATCGGTTGCTATCATCTCGCGGTCCCCAACCAGGTAGTCTACACCTACCAGCATGGCTCAGTCCACTTGTCAGTGACTTCATGGACTTGTGCCATGTTTTGGTCTGGCCTCCCCTAGCTTTCTTCCAACCTACTCCTACAACATTGAGCATCGCACGTCAAGGCAGTCGGTGGTTGGGCATACGTAACACGTGTCCCAGTCATCTCAACTGATGGAGTTCCACTACTTCATCAATTGATTTGCCATCCTTACCTAGTACCCGTTTCCTAACAACTGCATTACTTACTCGGTGGTCTCAGGATTTACGAGCGATGCTTCGAAGACACCTATGATCAAATACTAGTAATCTACGGATATCCTCTACTCTTACCAGCCATGTTTCACTGCCATAAAGTAGGACGGAACGAACTGCTGTGCAGTAAACACGTCCTTTGGTTGATAGACGGATATCTCGCCTACGCCATAAATGACGCAAGTTGACGAAAGCTAATCGAGCTTTCTGTATCCGTGCTGAGATTTCGTCACACACCAGACCACAAGGGTTGATGAGACTTCCAAGATAAGTGAAGCGATCGACACGCTCAATTACTTCACTCCCTATCATTAGTTCGGGTGTCAATGCAACCCAGTCCTGAAGCAACATTTTGCATTTCGAGGGGGAGAATCGCATCCCGAACATGCTAGCATTGTTGCTTAGAGTGGTCAGAAGACTCTGCATTTTGTCAGCGTCTTCGCCAAATAAAACTGTCATCGGTATATTCCAAGTCAACAAGTGAACCTCCCGGTAGAAGTTCAACCGCTGGAAATTTAGACGAGGAAAGTGTTATCTCTAGAAGCACGTCAACGATAAAGTTCAGGTCGAAAACCAGCCTGGTTTTCTCTGATTTTCACGAGCTTTAGTTAGGCGTCGAAGTATTATTGAAGCTAATATTTTAGACACTATATTAGTCAAACTGATTCCTCTGTGATTGTCACAAGAGGACTTTTGTCCTTTCTTATATACTGGCGCAATCAGTGATTGAGACCAGTCAGATGGGATTATGTCCAGTTCCCAAATTCTACCTAAGACCTCAGTTAATCTCACTGCTAATACTGGACCACCATCCTTAAAAATCTCAGTAGCAAACCTGTCAGGGCCTGCTGCTCTCCCTCGCTTCAGATTTCCTATAGCTTTTTTAACTTCATTAAGAGTCGGAGGACCTACATTAACTTGCCATTCAGGTTGACTGGAGATCGTGGGAAACCGAAGTGTGGCTGAAGGCCAGTTGAACTGATCCCTAAAGTGTTCCGCTCATCGATTCAATCTCCTGGACTGTGAATGTATATGTCCATCTTTCGGGTTCCTAATACCGGTTTCCTTAACAAGTCTGAACAATTGTCTGCCATTACCTATTGCCGCTGCCTTTTCCATCTCTCTTGCTTTTGCTACCCATCACTGTTCACGATCATTGCGTAGGCTTCTTGTCAGCTTGCGCTTAAGCTGACTCCGCTCTTCATTATGTTCAGAGCCAGGTGGAATGAGTTTCCGAGCATCTATCAGTGAGATAGATGCTGCTGAGATCCAGTGTTCTCCCTAACCTTCTGATTTACCTTACTAGCAGATATCACTGCTGTTTCCACAGCTTTTCGGATATCATTCCATGCTGCATCGGGGTGGGCATCACATACATGGCTGCCTAACTGTTTTCCTAGTTGTTCCTGAAATACACTCTTAGCTTGACTATCATTAAGTAGGCCCCTAAGAGGTTTCCTTGCAGCGTCTTTCCTACGTCCAGTAAGACGCAAGCAAATGCGCGCTCGCACTAGAGGATGATCTGAATCTAGGGATGTGCTCCAGAATGAGCGACAGTCTTCTATCGAGCCCCTCCATCGGTGGCTGATAGCGATGTGATCTATTTTGGTCCAACGTTGGGACGAGTTAGGGGGTCGCCATGTTAAAAGATGTTTTTCCTTATGCTTAATGTTAGTATTTGCAAGAAAGAGGCGGTCATCTGAGCATAGCTGCAACAGACGGTCGCCATTATCTGTTCTTTTAGCCACGACACTATAAGATCCACCCAGGTGTCTTTCCCTTTCGCTTAGTTTACCTATTTGAGCATTAAAGTCACCAGCCACTATTACTACATCAGAACGCCTAGCTTTTCGGAGGTCGAAAAGCTTTCTGTAAAACTCATCTTTTACATAATTTGATCTGCAGTCAGTAGGAGAATAGGCAAAGACGACGAAGAGGCAACGACGAGTGTCCCTATCTTTTCGGATCCTTACTGTTCCGTTTAGTCGGACAGCGCACAAATGACTGTCTACTGGGATCCAGTCTAAGAGAGCTAGTTCTGCCCTAGGACTCAATGCTATACCTACGCCGGCGAGGCCACAGGAAGCAGAATCAGGGTTTCCAGATACACGAAGTGTGAATCGAGTCGGTTCTTTATTTTGGCATGGTGAGGTCAAATGAATGACGCTACTCGGATCCTGTATGCGCGTTTCGGAGACGCAGCACACATCGATGGCGCCGGATTCTAAAGTCCTAGCTAACGAAGCCTGTTGACCTATTTGGCACAGTGTTCGTACGTTATAAGCTCCTACGTGTAGTTTAGAGCGTGGTTTCAGGAGACCAGGAATAGCGTTCCACATACTCGAATCGTTTGCCCTAGCGGTGCGAGGTGATAAACAGACGTGAGGAGGGTTAGTCATGGAGATAAGAGTTATTAGGAGGTGTAGGGAGGATTTGAATGTGACCAACATGGTTTCGTGTGCTGTTACGGGTATGAGGGCTGATGTCACTTCCCGGCTGCCCACACCGTGGAAGGGTATTTCTTGAGGAACCTGGAAAGGAAGTTGGATTAATGTTGGCCTTAACGACCTGGGAGCGTGACCGCAGAGCCCAAGGGACAACTGTTTGAGGCCGGTCGCGCACGGCCTTTTCGTGGGAGGTTTTCAATGTGTTAGCTCCGTTCTTCAAAGGGCCGTACCACCGGAGACGGGAATCCGTGAGGTATGACATTTTTAGGGTCGACCTTTCCTAACCCCTTCCTTCCTTGTGAGAAGGCAGCATTGCTGCAGATACTGGTTGTCCGAGGGAGATACCTTACTGCTGTCACACCTCTGTACAGTGAGCAGTACTTCGCCCCCAGACCCTGAGTCGCTGCTTTTAGTCTTACCGTTCTCCAATCGACCTGCCTGGCATGGTAGAACCTGCAGGAACATATGTTCCAGTCATTATAGCTCGGTTGCCTCATCACGATAGCGATAGTCAAGCGCGACCACCGTGTCAAGGTAGCAGCTACGGTCGGGCTGTACCAGGGCATTTGTAGTGCATCCCGACCGTTGTTGCTACTTTGACGTGATGGTCGCGCTTGTCTATCGCTATCGTGATGAGACAACCGAGCTATAATGACTGGAACATATGTTCCTGCAGGTTCTACCATGCCAGGCAGGTCGATTGGAGAACGGTAAGACTAAAAGCAGAGACTCAGGGTCTGGGGGCGAAGTACTGCTCACTGCACAGAGGTGTGACAGCAGTAAGGTGTTTCCTCCAGACAACAAGCATGACAGCGATGCTGCCTTCCCACAAGGAGGGGTGTGATTAGAAAAGGTCGACCTTAAAAATGCACACCTCGCCTTTTCCCACAGATATCCATCTCCGGCGGTAAAGTTTCAACAAGTACAGAGCTAACACAAAAATTACTCATAAAAAGGTTGTGTGTGACCGTCCTCAAGCAGTTGTCCGTTGGGCACTGCGGTCACGCTCCCAGGTCACTACGACCACCTCTAATCCAATTTCCTTTTCAGGTACTTTCAGAAGAACCCTTCCACGGTGTGGGCGACCGGGAAGTGATAATCGCCCTCATACCTCTAACAGCACTCAAGACCACTTGTAGTGCATACATATTCCGGACGAATAAGCACTCTCCTCGAGAATTATATAGATCTTGAAAAACACTCCAGTTGGAATTTTAGATGGTCTAGATTCGGACATTATGATGGAACGGTAAAGTGGTGGCTTTGCGATTAAAGGGTTCGACTTTCAGCCACTAAGTTTCATGTTTAAGCATCCCTCTATTTACTATGTTTTGTGCGAGCGAATAGTATCATTAGACAGGAGTGTGGGTTATACTGAGTGATACCTAGCTAATAAACAAACTAGTCACGTTTAAGTTCACAACTAAACCAAAGCGTTTCACGTAAGTTTGGTAAAGTAATCCCATAATGATATAAACAAACATGAAGAGGATATTAAAAGGCAAAAACCAAAAATAGACGCGGGAAGCCGAAAAGAATAACGCTGGATCAAACAGCTGTGATAACAATATTAGTGAACTTGAGCCACTCATAACCTTAAGTGATGTAGATTCTCATAGTGACGTCCTGCTGTCTAGTCAAAGATCCGTCACACTTTTTTATTTTGGTCACAGAACGTTATTTGGAAAAATAAATAATTGCGTAACGTTTCAAACGGGCAGTAATACTACATGGCTTTCCATAACAATGTAAAGCGAAGTCCAATTAATGGATGAACATTAGACTTGACAACTAGAAAATGTTTAATAAGCATGGGTGAAAATCCTATTTTGCAATGACCTAATTACTTATAGAATGAGTAGTGTAAGTGCCAACAGATGCACTTAAAGGTTGTTCGGAAGTGAGGCAACCATTGTACCATAGTTTGACCTGTGAGACTGTGAGCGACGGTAAATGGACCTTGAGAATGTGACGACAGTAACGCTCTCCTTGAGCACCTACTACTTGAAGACGCACACCATTAGAAAGAGAAGGGTGATTCTAAAAATAATCCAACATGCTACTCATTACAACTAGAAGAGAACTTTCTCTAAGGATAAGATACTCAATACGAACAGCTTTAAAAAATGAACAAAATTAAAGCATGCATATGCAAATTGAAAACTTTTCAGTTATACATTTACCAACATCAGTTTGCAATTTTTGGAAAAGACCTCATTATAGGCCAAATCACATATTATAAGAATGAAGTTCAGAACTACTAAAACAGATGTTAGAGAACGTATTTGAAATATACACTGGAAATACACCAATAACGTTGTCTGGTGAATATAAACATTTTTACTGAGATGATTGCGGAAAATGATGCTAAACAGCCGCTTGAACACTGGTAATTGAGGAGAGAGAAAATACATTTACAGTAAGCTCGACTAACGCTCATTAATGGGAAGTCTAATTAGACGCTGAAGGCGTATTGTTTTACTTTCCCATGCAGCAGAAACTTATAAAGTGAATAAATGAAACCAAACACAACAGATATATGATTTCCAGACAAGGATCATTTCTACTTAAAATGAACGAACACCAACCCTCACATTTAAGCACAACGTGCATTCAAATACGTAAAGCGCGCTTAAGCGTCAAAATTTGAAAACAATCAGTCAAATTACATATACATTAAAGCGTACAAAGCTCTAGGAAGCTGAATTTGATAGCTTAGAGTTTGTGCAGAACATGGGAAATCACGAAGACGTTATTTGATGAGTAATATTCACCATATACCCACTAACCTAAACATATCACTAATTTATTTCGTTAATTCATAACACGTAAAATAGCTGTGAAAAGGACTCATTTCAATAACTTGGCCTTTAATGAAAGCGACAGGAAAACCTCATCGACTCCAATATCAGCCTGCTTTTAACGAGTATACTGAAGACAGACTGAAACACCTTAATTTAATTCCGTTATCTTACCGTAGAATACGGGGTGATCAAATATTGTCTTATCGTATACTGAACGATGACCTTGGTATTAACATGTCTTATCTTTTACTTCCGTCTAGAACCGATCATTTGAGGGGACATTCGATTTTTGTACTTGTTGTGATTATAATTGCTTTGGGTACTTATTGCACCAAAAAGAATTCTTGGTCTACTTTAACTAATAGTACTTTGGTTAACGTTTGAAATTTTTTGCTAAATTTTATCCTGAGTACCATTTTTAAGCCCTTGACTAACATCTGTGTTCACTTTGTGATCATTTTGTGTTTTTAAACCTTTAAATCTAATTACAATGGTTGGTAAGACTCACAAATGTGGGCAACCAAATTGTTTGTTCCCCGTTGAGGAGGCGATGGAGTGTGATGACTGTAAAAAGTATTACCACAAAATGTGTACACGCCCAAGTCCGATGACATACAAAAGATGCTCAAAGCCTAACTCGCATTGGCTTTGTATGTTCTGCTGTACGGATAAAAAAGTGCTAATTAAGGAGGCTAGGGGCCTATTGGCTTTGGCCTGCAAGAAAAACGATGACACATGCGCTGACAACACCGGCACTGATAGTGACGAATGTGTCAGTGTAGTATCTGCTGTTACGCAACGACTCAAACAACCGACTCTGACCGACGCAAAGGTGAGATCTCCTTTGACATTAACAAAGGGAGTAGTACCACCTGTTACTGACATTGATAACAATGCATCTTTAGTGGAAACCGACGAACTGGATAAAACCATCAACGTTCCAAATAGTCCCAATGTCCTGAGGGATGAAAAATGGACTACGGTACGTAGGAAACGAAACGAAAGGAAAAAATCTGTAGGCAGTACACAGGTAGTTAGTAACTCACTGATGGACTCTCATTGTGAGTCACCTACTGCACTACCAAAATCTGATGGTAAGAGTGAAACCCATCGTGGCGTGACTGAGAAGAAAAATCGAATAACAGCTAAAACTAATGACTGTTTACTTGAAAAGTCCTTGTTGGACTCCCAGACCAATCCGCCAAAGCTCCAAAGAAAAGCTTCGTCTAACACTGTTGTGAGTCACTCACCGGACTCTGTTACAATAAAAGCTAATCGTAAGATACCAGTAGTTAATATACAGGATCTATCGTCACGGTCGAAAGCTGTTAACACAGTTTCAAAGGAAGCTAAACCCCTTCCTGGTTTAATTATTTGGAATCTAGAGGAGTCGAAAGATAACGATCCTGCTAGAAGACATGCACATGACCCGCAGTTAGTGGAGTCTGTGGTAAGAAATGTACTACCTGAAGAGGTTTCAGGGGTACATATTACAAAAATAATACGACTTGGTAAATGGGGTGGAGGCGAGACCCAACCAAGAAGAATCCTGAAGCTGGTTCTCGGGAGTTTCGAAGAAAGAGACATATTATTGAAAACGCACCAAAAACTCGTGACTCAAATATCCGTATTCGACCAGATTGGCCTCTTGACGATCGAATCAAGTGGAAGAATGCTCTTACGGAGTTGAGGACTCGCAAGTTAAATGGCGAAAATAACCTTACCATTAAGGGTTTTCGGGAAGTCAGGTCTTGGAAGCCAATGCTTCCGAGGCCTGTATGGGTAGAATGATTGATTGCCAAAACACCTTAAGTGTGTGCTACACGAACGCTCGTAGTCTTAGAAATAAAACGTCCGAGCTAAGTCTGATAGTGCAAGAATTATGTCCCGATATAATCGTTGTTACAGAAACTTGGTTCACAGTAGATATAGACTGTTCTCCGTTCATTGCAGGCTATATCTGTATTAGAAGTGATAGAGTTTCAAGTCGCAAAGGGGGAGGTATAATATTATACGTTAGGGATCACTTTCATATACAATCAACCATATCGGAGGCTCATATCAGTGGCACATGTGAGGTTGCATGTTGTAAGATTAAATCTAGAAATGGGTTAGTCACTATAGGGGGAATATACCGTAGTCCGTCTTGTCTTGCTGACGACTTTATCCTAGGAAACACCTGTTCTTGGAGTATGGCAGAATGTTGTCTCATCATTGGGACTTCAACGCACCGCATATCAGCCGAATAGAGCTTACAGCTCCAGGTAGTGGTTTCGATAGCGACCTTTTATGTACCGTTATTCAGTGTGCACTTGTACAATGTATCACAAAACCGACACACATTGATTTGCAACATGATCCGTCAGTGCTGGACCTCACCCTCACCCACCACTCTGAGGATGTCTTTGATATCCAGCACCTTCCCCCACTAGTGAACAGTGATCACGTTGTAATTCACTTTAAGTTTAGAACACATGGTATACGATTTATATCTGCTCCACCCCATCCCAATATCTGGCGAGCCAATATTCCGGCGATCAGAAACTGTGCTATCCCGACTGATTGGTCGGTCGACGCGGATGGATTGATCGAAGATGAATGGAATAAGTTTAAGGCTACATTCGAGTCTGTAACGTCGCCGTTTATCCCATGGTCAGCACGTAAGCTATCAAATTGCCCTCCATGGATTAATAAGGAAACCCGGAAGCTGTTAAAGCGTAGGAAACATTTCTGGGACTTATTCTTGTTGACAGGTCATGAACCATTTAAGCGTGAGTACCGAAAATTCCGTAATATCTGTAAGAAAACCATAGCCGAATCCCGTACCACTTACAAACGACAGTTAGTATATGACAGCCGTACTTGTCCGAAACGATTGTTTTCGTATGTTAAACGGCGGACGAAACGTAGTGATGGTATTACCCCGTTACTGTTACATGAAAATTCAGAATTACTAGCTGAATCAGATCGAGCAAAAGCTGAAACTTTTTCAAACTATTTTAGCGAAGTCTTCTCCACGTTTATTGTAACAAATACGTGTCCAACTCACATCGAGATACCAACCATGGAATCTGTACAGGTGACTGAGGAAACTGTCCTTCCGTTGATAACTAACCTCAAACCTGGTAAGACACCGGGCCCTGACGGGTTACATCCACGGTTGCTGTCATCTCTTGCGGACATTATTTCCAAACCGCTCGCGACACTCTTCAACATGTCCCTTTCACTCGCTCAACTCCCTGGAGATTGGAAGGACGCTATAGTCAGTCCTATATTCAAGGATGGTCAGAGACATATAGTATCTAACTACCGGCCTGTTAGTCTAACTAGTATAGTCGTTAAGTTGCTTGAAAAGATAATTCGGGTTAGGTTGTTAAGTCACATAGATTTACACAATCTGTTAGCTCCTAAGCAACACGGATTTCGTAACAAGCGTTCATGCTTGACTAACTTGCTTATTGCGAGGGAGTATTGGACAGCAGCCCTAGATCACGGTCTGTCTGTCGACGTGATATTCATAGATTTTAGCAAAGCGTTTGACAAGGTTTCACACGTAGGTCTTATGCAGAAGCTCACGAGCTTCGGAATAATAGGTACTGTACATGCGTGGATAGGAAATTTCTTATGTGACCGCAGACAGAGAGTGAGGGTCAACGGAACGCTATCCGATTGGAAGCCGGTCAAAAGTGGTGTACCCCAAGGCACCATCTTAGGCCCTCTGCTCTTCCTTCTTTACGTTAATGAGTTACCGCTGTTACTTAGGTCGTCGAAATTATTGTTTGCGGATGATGTAAAAATCTGGAGAACAATAAAAAGTGCGGCTGATCATCTGCATCTTCAAGCTGACTTAGACGATTTAGTTAGATGGGCTCGAGAGTGGGGCCTAGAAATCAATGCTAGGAAGAGTGTACTAATGCACATCGGTCACGGTAATAGTTACCGTTATACTATTGAGGGTAAACTTCTTCCATGCGTTCAAGAGCATAAAGACTTAAGAGTAGTATTAAGTCATGATTTAAAAACAACTACGCATTGCAAAGCAGCCGCTGTCAAAGGTTTTCGAGCGTTATGGTCACTTCGCTGAGCGTTCAAATCTTTTGACGAGGAAACGTTTCGAATTTTATATCCCACCTATGTAAGACCACACTTAGAGTACTGTATCCAAGCAGCTAGCCATGTCTGGTAAAGGATACTAACTCCCTTGAGCGTGTCCAGCGTGTGGGAACGAAATTAGTGAAGAGTCTTTCTAGACTCCCTTACGATGAGCGTTTAAAACGCCTAAATCCTTTCCCCTTGTCGTATCGTAGGACACAAGGTGACCTTATACTGGCATTTTGTATCTTTAATTATGATTTGGGTGTTAATATGTCTTATCTTTTTGCTCCCTCCAGCACTAATAATCTCCGCGGTCATAGCAAGAAGGTTCATAAACCAAGATCTAATAAACTTAAAGTGGGGTTCCGTTTTTCTCATCGAGTAGTCAGTCATTGGAACGCCTTACCCGAACAAGTGGTATCAGCCCCATCAATGAATACTTTCAAGGAGAAGCTGGACCTTCACTGGAAAGCAATGCGTCAGGATTAACACAGGTTCATCGACCTACTATCCTTATTACTGAAGACTGAAGTTCAGAAACCGAAATCAAATCGTTTACGTCTGGAGTTTTGTTTCTCGCACCGAGTAGTGAATTACTGAAATTCTCTACCTGAACACGTAATATCAGCACCTTCTGTTGATATATTCAAAACGAGGTTGGACCTCCACAGTATTACAAACTACAAGGATTAATATAGGTCGATAGACCTCCAATCCTTATTACTGAGAACTGAAGACTG